TAAATTTTTCAAAAAATGAAAATTTTTCAAAAAATGAAAATTTTTCAAAAAATGAAGATTTTTGAAAAAATTAAGATTTTTGAAAAAATGAAAATTTTTGAAAAATTAAAAAATGCAAAATTTTTGAACATCCCGGGTTGAAATCCATACCATCCTATTAATCCCAATATCATTCCTCTCCGAAATATGCGATTGCTTTTATACCTTGGTCAAGAGCAATATCTTTCTATTGAATGAGAAAAATGAAAGTGTTTGGAAAAATGAAAAGTTGTGTAAAATGAAATTTTTTGAAAAAATGAAATTTTTTGAAAAAATGAAATTTTTTGAAAAAATGAAATTTTTTGAAAATATCATCCCTCCGAAATATGCGATTGCTTTTATCGCTCTAACCATGGTATAAAAAGTAGTTATTCACCAGGAGGGATCTGATATGGGGAATATCACAAGGATGATATCAATATTTCCCGAGGGAACGCAGTGACCGAAGTTATTTTGTGAAATCAGAATGGAGAATTAATCAAAGTGGTATCGGTATGAGCCTCTGTAGAAGCCCCTTTATTAATGTTTCGATCATTACTGACGTACGCATTCTGACTTGTGAGAGCTCCTCTTTATCTAATTAAATGCTTGTATTCCATGGGATAGAAAAGACTGTCGATCCCACAATGTGACGTACGATATACAGGTTAATCTTAATCTATTTAAACAACTCGATTAATTTCTCTTTAAATATAGGATTACTAAATTTGTCTGAGGGACTATTTTTATAGATAAAGTAGTTATGTATATAGACAATACCACCGCCACTGAATGCTCTGTAATAGCTAATTAAATAGCATACCTTTTAAGCTTTCACTTGAACTCCATTGCGTCACACTCGAATGGACGTTAATCCAGTTAAAAGTCGTGGGTGGAAATCGATCAGCGTTATTGTGTTAAAGGGGCACCAAAAACCGGAGACTTTGAATTGAGAGTAACTTTCTAAAAATATTCTCATTATTTTTCTGGAGTGCTCTAATTTCACATGTTCGACTTTCAAATTGTTATTATGTAATTCTTAGATTATTTGGCAATTATTTTGAAAATTGGGCATCCCTTTTCAATTCTAGTCAATCCCTTTTTAATTCTAGTCAATATCTGCATCAAGTACGTCTTTATCTAATCAGATACAACAGTTCTTTTTCAGACAGTAAAGTAATTTTGATTGCTCATACCGATAGCCATTAAACACATCTATTCTTTACTAACGCTTTAAACCTTTATGGGTAGATATACAACACAATGGCATGGGCCTACGATATCGGAGATATTTGTGTGTAATCATTATGACTTTCAACTGTTTTACTAATACAAGAGTCTTTAATAGCGAACCTATGACGTCAATTCGTACCATCCCCAATCTGCAAGAGAGAATGGATTAGGATCGTCTAGTGTTTCAAATCATTGAATCTAGATCAAGTAGGAACTTGGGAATAGGAATTAAGTATAGGCCTACAGCACGGTGGCAAAAGGTGACGCGGTCCAGGCAAGCCATATGGTCTAAAAAATATTATATATACTATGCCATTAGAAATAATATACGTATTATAAATCGCATTGCATTGTAATATAATTATGTCCATTATATGCATATGGACAACATTTGCCAATATATTTTAATATGTTCCAGCGAACTCACTGTGATGGACGATGGTACTTTTCAAACTGTTACTTGTAAAGTGGACGTCCCCTTTTTGATTGTAATAGGTATGGGTATTTCCAAATCTTAAAGATCTTCAATATTTGATATATTTCACCAGAAACCTCAAGCATTCTCTCAGATAATAAAGCTAGAATTCTACTTGAAAAATTGGAATGCTTTTTGAAAAGACTGCACCCACAATTTTTCACCCTCTAGTCTTTGTAGACCCTTTAAAGGCCCTGTGTAAAGTTTGTGTAAAATTTCAAATATTTGATTTTTATACGGGGCCTTTATTAGTAAGTAGAGATCGAGATTTCGATATATTTTTTTGGAATATGTATATGCAAACCTGTACTTGTACAAGTCAGGTATAGCACTGGGGAGGAACTCCACAAAATATTCAACAAGTATGTATTTCGTGAATTCCGGTTTCAAAATATGATAACAACTTAGAAAAAATTAATTCTGCCATTGCTGCGATATTCACATAGGAAATGAAGAAAATTTTTCTAATGAAATGTACTTTTCCCTGGTTCATTTGAGAAACGTTCCTCCCAGTAGTGTTTATGTCATTTAAAAGTTAAAGTTGCAGTATAAGTTCGACTGAAAACTTAGAACTCTCTATTGTCAAACTGAAACATTTTTACTGCATGTGTCTAGCAATAGTATGTTCTTTGATGTAAAACGATGCATTATTACACAAAATATAACTTACTAATCTATGTATTGAATTATAGTTAATATGCAGATTGATTTTAAGATCACAGAAACATCTAAAGGACGCACCCTATGATGTTCTATTGAGAGTTGAAATCCCTTTCGGATACGTGTGAAGATTATGTGTGTAGGGCGACCTCTGTGCCCCCAGTCTCCCACAACTTCAGACTCTGTCACCCCCTCTCTTCCGGTGTTCAACCCCTGCCACACCTCCTCATTCGATAACTCCAGCTCGAGTCACACTGCTGTCCAAACATTTTAGCTTACGTCACTTCCTTTCTTCCACCAGTTCTGCTTCTAACACAATTAAAATAGTACTTTTCGGTGTGATAAAAAGTCGTCATTCAACTTTTCAATTCTTATGGACTGGACATTTTTATCTTAAATAATCAACGACCTTTTACATTTGATCAGATATCTTGATTTATTTTTTTGAGAAAATAAAGGAGCAGGTATGTTATTGCAATTTCAGACGGTTATATCTTGGATTATGACTATTTTCTGACAATGAAGACAGGTTTATCTTTTGGATCATTTCATTATCTCAAAGAGAATTATATACAGTAATAATAAAGTCAACAAACTCGGAGATATTTAACTAGCAATCAACCCATCAACACACTTTTCAAAGATGTTGACCTCACTTTCACCAAAAAATACAATCATTTTTTACAATGTTAAATGCATTACTATTCTTTATTTTAATGTATCAAATATTTCTTGAAAGAAAATCGTAATTGCTTTAAGATAACTGTTCCCTATGTTATTTCTCCATTGAAAAAACCCATGCTATTCATTGGTTTCAGCTCATTTTGGTCATCCAAATTCAGTATCTTTAAAGTCCCTGGAGAAATCCACTATTCCGCTAGGATGTAGAACGTGTCTCAAAGCAAATTATAAATACATGTATGCATTTAACAATATTATTAAAGGTTGCATTTTTGGTGAAAAATAGGTCAACATTTTTGAAAAATTATGTTGATTGGTCCACTGCCCCTTAAATATCACTTAGGTCTGATTAACTAAATTATCATTCTTTATACCTTTCTTGAAGATAATGAATGGATCTTAAAGATACACCCATGTTCATGATCAGAAAATATTCATAATTCAAGTTAGAATCGTTTGAAATTGTTTGCGATAACCTACGTGCTCCTTTTATTATGCTGTTTAATGATTGCTCCCAACATGTTACATACACTCAGTCCTTTTAATACCTTTAATGGACGGAGAGATGAGGAAATATAGTAAAAAACAGTTCAAAATTATTTTACAATGAGGAGGATCGGCTCCAAGGTTCCTTCCTGACCACAGGGTGACAGTTTGTTCGGTACATTCAAAAGGATAACCAAAGAATGGTTGATTTTATTGTCTGACAACAGTAAATGGCTATAAAGTCATTATAGCAATTCAAAATATTTGAACTAAAGCTTTCATCACTTATTATTTCACTTCTTATTTTGAAATATGTTTTGAGGTTATAAGACCAAAACTCAATAGAAATCCTGGATTGAAAAAATGGCAATACGAGTAATGTGAACATTGTACCACATGCTTGTCATCACATGCGTCACATGACACATCTAACCCTGCTGATTGGTTGATCATGTTGAGGGGAGTGCCAGAATTGAATACTCTATGTGAAGTTCGCCAGAGGATCGGCAAGGAATCCTAGAAGACAACTTCTTGTTATAATATATATTTGAAATTATTTACTAAAATGAAAATGTATTGTTGTCACAATATAGGTATTGTAATCATAAATGAAATCATTAAGAACTAAAAGTGGCATGATTTAATGTAAATATTGTACATGAAAATGTAACAAATTATTGTATCACGAGGCGAACAATGTTCATGTTGTAAGTGTAGAGGTCATCGTAAATTATTGTATCACAAGGTTCATGTTCAGTACTGGTAGATGACAACATCACAATGTATTATATCACAAGGTTGATGTTGTAATTGTAGTTGAAATCACAATTCATCATAAGGTGTCACAAGGTTGATGTTGTAATTGTAGATGAAATCACAATGCATCATAAGATATCACAATGTTGATGTTGTTATTGTAGATGAAATCATAATGTATCGTGAGGTGTCACAATGTTGATGTTGTAATTGTAGATGAAATCACAATGCATCGTGTAGGTGTCACAAGTTTGATGTTGTAATTGTAGATGAAATCACAATGCATCACAAGGTGTCACAAGTTCGATGTTGTAATTGTAGATGAAATCACAATGCATCACAAGGTGTCACAAGTTTGATGTTGTAATTATAGATGAAATCACAATGCATCACAAGGTGTCACAAATTTGATGTTGTAATTGTAGATGAAATCACAATGCATCACAAGGTGTCACAAGTTTGATGTTGTAATTGTAGATGAAATCACAATGCATCACAAGGTGTCACAAGTTTGATGTTGTAATTGTAGATGAAATCACAATGCATCACAAGGTGTCACAAGTTTGATGTTGTAATTGTAGATGAAATCACAATGCATCACAAGGTGTCACAAGTTTGATGTTGTAATTGTAGATGAAATCACAATGCATCACAAGGTGTCACAAGTTTAATGTTGTAATTTTAGATGAAATCATAATGCATCATAAGGTGTCACAAGGTTGATGTTGTAATTGTAACTCTCAGGTACGTCATATTTTGCTGTACAAATAGACGGCACATCACTGGCTTGCTCTATGTTAAAGTTATAGGCAAATACTAACCCTCTATCCCTGCAAGTAAAAACATTTATATTGAATACCTTTAATTACAGGTGATTTCTTGTTAACAGTAAAGCTGATTACTGGTAGTGCCCTCTATACAGAAGTTAAGTTGGACAAATAAGCTTTAATAATAGTCCAAATGCTTATGATAGTACAAGTCCAAATACTTATAATAATCCAAATACTTATAATAGTCCAAATACTAATAATAGTCCAAACACTCATAATAGTTAATGCTTATTATAATAGTCCAAATAATTATTATAAAAGTCCAAATGCTTATTATAATAGTCTAAATGCTTATCATAATAGTCCAAATGCTTATTATAATAGTCTAAATGGTTATTATAATAGTCCAAATGCTTATTAAAACAGTCCAAATGCTTATTATAATAGTCTAAATGCTTATTATAATAGTCCAAATGCTTATCACAATAGTCCAAATGCTTATTACAATAGTCTAAATGCTTATTATAATAGTCCAAATGCTTATCATAATAGTCCAAATGCTAATTAAAATAGTCCAAATGCTTATTATAATAGTCCAAATGCTTATTATAATAGTCCAAATGCTTATTATAATAGTCCAAATGCTTACCTTCTGTGAACAATGCTATCAAAATCATCAGCTTCAGGTTGCTTATTTAAAGGCACATGGGCCGCTATTAGGTAATTTTCATCAAATTTGCAATGCTCCACAGGATGACTGAAAAACACAAACAAAATATTTTTTTATAAAGGGAATGAAAGTTCACAGAATTCATGAACAAAACCTCATCAGATAATGTGGCTCGCCATTTTACAGAAATATACTTCTATTCATTGATACATTTTTTTCAAATAAAACTGAAAATAATACATTATAATAGTAAAAATCTTTAGTTTTCCTAAAGTATGCACTTGGGATAGACATTACAAGAAATGATATGAGTCAAAAATATTCTAAAATTGAAACAATTTTTTTATAGATCTGATTCTCTCTTTAAGTAGATTGAAATAGGTGAGTCAAAACTAAACCAAATGGAATAAAATACTACAATTTGACACCATTTCACACATTTTTCAAATAAAACTGAAAAATGGTGTCAAATTGTAGTATTTTATTCAGCTGATTTTATTCCATTTAGATAGAAAAAGGGTAGTAGGCAAAAAGGGCATAAGAATCGTAGACTCACGTGGATACATACTAGAAGATTGCAATTACAAAGGATTGGTATCGATATGGTGAACTGAAATCAACATTGTTTTTCTCTCAAAACAATTGTTGAGAAAACATTATGTAAATAACACTGTCCTTTATGTAACGGTCACTGATTGCAACAATTTAATGCAAAAATTACTTATACATATTTTATACCTGTATTATTGTTTTTGTGAACAATTTTTGTTTTTTGGTGCAATTTTTTTTTGTTCCTTTCTACCCATTCTTGAGAATGAAATAAAATGTCTTTCCGAACCTTGTTGGAACAAATTAGCATATACGGCATTTTCTCATACCTCTCAATATTATAGTTATACAAAGAAAAGTTTGGTTCATTTAATCAAAAGTATTCAAAAAATTAAATAGATCAAAATTAAAGTAAACCTTTTATTTCATTAACAAGATACCTTTTGTTAAATGAACCAAACTTTCCTTAGTACAATTACAATATTGAGAGCCCTAAACACATTGTGTATATGTCATTTTGTTTCAATGAGGTTTGGATATACCGGTATGTTTCATTTCATTCTGAACATATAATACTGAGAAGAAAAGAAGTGGCTGATGTGTTTTCTGAAATAATATAGTGAAAAGGATATACATGCATTTTTCAAATTAAATTGTTGCCATTCAAAAGATAATCAATTTGACAATGTGTAAAATTTACAGAATTTTTTGATGACTGGTTTATGGAAACATGTGTTCAACTCAGTTCGCCATATCGATACCAATTCTATTAAAATAATTTCTTGATTAAAAACTACTAGATATTTCTCCACTTAAATGTTACATCCGCTAGATGACTCATCCCTTTGCGTTTAACCCCCCAGTCTTTCCCCTGGTCACTTTACATTACTGATGCAAATTTTCAAATAATTTCTTTATTAAAAATTACAAGATATTTCTCCACATAAATGTTCAATCCGCTAGATGACTCATCCCTGTGCGTTTAACCCCCCAGTCTTTCCCCTGGTCACTTTACATTACTGATGCAAATTTTCAAATAATTTCTTAATTACAAGATATTTCTCCACTAAAATGTTACATCCGCTAGATGACTCATCCCTGTGCGTTTAATCCCCCCACGGTGTTTCCCCAGGTCAGTTTATGCAACTGATGTTTTTGTGGCCCAAAATGTGTCGTCATGCCACTCATCCCATTTTACATCTGGTAATTGCCTATGCATTGATCATATAAATGTCTAATTATTTGGCAATAAACACTTAATACCTTCCCCTGAACGTTTTAAACCTCCTGGGCAATTACGTATGTTCGATTATATGTTGTTGTTGGTTAAGGGCTGGTGTCCAAATAGTGACAGTTGTTGAAAAACTTACTATACTTCTACTTAATTTGGCGCTACTTATTTTGAGGGATTTGCTGTTCTGAACATTTTGGGGCTACTTAAATTGGTGGACTTGTAATATTGCAATGTACTAAGGTTGATAGCAATGCTTTTTGTCACTCAATTTTTTGGCAATTAAAAGTCCCTGCCTGCATTTAGTAGTCATATATTGTCCTGTGCATAATTTTGAAACCTTATCCTAATTATTTCACAAACCTTTTGTTGATTCTGCAATAGTTTCCAACTTGAAAACAGCATTTTGCCTTTTTAATTGGGAACTTTTTTGAAATTTCCAAAATGGCTGCCATGTGATTCTAGAATTCACATGAGTGTGACATGACATCACAGTTGCTCGTTCCTTGGTAACAACAAGATCACAATTGCTCGTTTCTAGGTAGCAACAAGATTTTTGATTAAAATGACACAGAATTGCCCTGATTAACACCCTTAAAATCCGATTTTCAAAGAATATATTTGGAGAAACAATAAAAGGTAAGTGGAATAAATTAGAAGATGGTTTCAAGTTACCACAGAAGTCAATTTGAAACTCAAAAATGCTTTCTTTGACTCATAATCACAAACAAGGCACAGACGTGAACAATATCGTACCTAAAACACAGCAGTGTGACAGTGAAGAATTTAGGACGGAAAATCCAAAATGGCCACCTTAAAATTTACCCAGAATGCCCAAAAACTAATCAGTTCTTCACTTTAATACGTAGAAACATCCCTGAAAATTTCAGATGAATCCATCAAATGGTTTGGCTGGAAACCTGTAGACAAGTCTTGAAAGTGAAGATTTTAGGACGGAAAATCCAAAATGGCCACCTTAAAATTAACCCAGAATACCCAAAAACTAATCAGTTGTTAACTTTGATATGTAGAAACATCCCTGTAAATTTCAAATGAATCCGTCACATGGTTTGGCTGGAAACCTGTAGACAAGTCTTCAAAGTGAAGATTTTAGGACGGAAAATCCAAAATGGCCACCTTAAATTTTACCCAGAATGCCAAAAAACTAATCAGTTCTTAACTTTGATACGTAGAAACATCCCTGAAAATTTTAGATGAATCCGTCAAATGGTTTGGCTAGAAACCTGTAGACAAGTCTTGAAAGTGAAGATTTTAGGACGGAAAATCCAAAATGGCCACCTTAAAATTTACCCAGAATGCCCAAAAACTAATCAGTTCTTAACTTTGATACAAGAAACATTCCTGAAAATTTCAGATGAATCCGTCAAATGGTTTGGCTGGAAACCTGTAGACAAGTCTTGAAAGTGAAGATTTTAGGACGGAAAATCCAAAATGGCCACCTTAAAATTTACCCAGAATGCCCAAAAAATAAGCAGTTCTTAACTTTGATACGTAGAAACATTCCTGAAAATTTTAGATGAATCCGTCAAATGGTTTGGCTGGAAACCTGTAGAAAAGTCTTGAAAGTGAAGATTTTAGGACGGAAAATCCAAAATGGCCACCTTTAAATTTACCCAGAATGCCCAAAAACTAATCAGTTGTTAACTTTGATATGTAGAAACATCCCTGTAAATTTCAAATGAATCCGCCAAATGGTTTGGCTGGAAACCTGTACACAAGTCTTGAAAGTGAAGATTTTAGGACGGAAAATGCAAAATGGCCACCTTAAATTTTACCCAGAATGCCAAATAACTAATCAGTTCTTAACTTTGATACGTAGAAACATCCCTGAAAATTTCAGATGAATCCGTCAAATGGTTTGGCTGGAAACCTGTAGACAAGTCTTGAAAGTGACGATTTTAGGACGGAAAATCCAAAATGGCCACCTTAAAATTTACCCAGAATGCCCAAAAACTACTCAGTTCTTAACTTTGATACAAGAAACATTCCTGAAAATTTCAGATGAATCCGTCAAATGGTTTGGCTGGAAACCTGTAGACAAGTCTTGAAAGTGAAGATTTTAGGACGGAAAATCCAAAATGGCCACCTTAAAATTTACCCAGAATGCCCAAAAAATAATCAGTTCTTAACTTTGATACGTAGAAACATTCCTGAAAATTTTAGATGAATCCGTCAAATGGTTTGGCTGGAAACCTGTAGACAAGTCTTGAAAGTGAAGATTTTAGGACGGAAAATCCAAAATGGCCACCTTAAAATTTACCCAGAATGCCCAAAAACTAATCAGTTGTTAACTTTGATATGTAGAAACATCCCTGTAAATTTCAAATGAATCCGCCAAATGGTTTGGCTGGAAACCTGTACACAAGTCTTGAAAGTGAAGATTTTAGGACGGAAAATGCAAAATGGCCACCTTAAATTTTACCCAGAATGCCAAAAAACTAATCAGTTCTTAACTTTGATACGTAGAAACATCCCTGAAAATTTCAGATGAATCCGTCAAATGGTTTGGCTGGAAACCTGTAGACAAGTCTTGAAAGTGAAGATTTTAGGACGGAAAATCCAAAATGGCCACCTTAAAATTTACCCAGAATGCCCAAAAAATAATCAGTTCTTAACTTTGATACGTAGAAACATTCCTGAAAATTTCAGATGAATCTGTCAAATGGTTTGGCTGGAAACCTGTAGACAAGCTGAAAAGTGAGACGCCGCCCGCCTGCCGCCCGCCCGTCAAGCTGATGACAATATCGTACCTTTATTAGGTACGATAAAAAGTCAGGTGATTTTTGACATTGGTATCCAGTTTAATGGTATTTATTAAAATGGCCGCCAAAGTACAGTAGTTAATTTTGTTGTGCATGAACAGTGCTCTTCCCCTCCACAATTAAATATGAAAATGTTGATTTGTCATTCTCCCTAACTTCCTTCCTCTACATCTACAAAAAACAAGGCATTAACATGCAAAATGTTACCACCTGCCATTTGTTACAGATGCCAACTGCCGAATGCTGACTGCTGAACACCAGCTGTCCAATTTTCTCTTTATTTTTACACAAACTCTTTTTTTATTCATTGCATGTCTAATGTAAATATGTTTTCTCTTTATATGCATTTGTATTTAAGCGTTAATTGTAAAAAAAACTGCTTTAGTTGACCATATTTATACCATAAGTCAATGAGCAAGCTATTTTGTACATGTATAATGTAAATTGATTTAAATGACGAAATAATTGATGAAAAAAGGATAAACTAAAAAACAATTGGTCATATTTTAAATTCATGATGCTTGAATGCAAACACTCTTTTCTGAGAATTGAATAACAAGTCCTCATATAGTAAGCAGTCATATTAAGTCAAGTCTTAACATTAGGCATTAACATGACTAAATGTCACCACCTAGTTGCTCAAAAAATTGTGAGTTCCATCATAAGTCAGATTTGAATTTATGAGAACTTGTAGATGATTTTGACTTTGAGAAGGTCATTGAAGGTCAAATCTCAAATCTAAAGTCAGATTTGAACTTCTAATAACTTGTAGATAAAAGAAAATTGGTCAATTTGAAGCAAGTTGAAAATATACCTTTTTGACCTTTTAACTATTTTTGACTTTGAAAAGGTCAAATCTTATATAAAAAGTCAGATTGGAACTTCTGAAAACTTGTAGATGATTTTGAAAAAAATTGAAGTCAGTCCTAACAGTTAAGTTATTGGAAGTTGTAAGACCAACCACCAACCATGAACCGCTGTCAAATAAAACGGAGACCATATAACAATATGTCACCACTTTTTGGTGGTGACATGAAAACTCTTTTTTCAATTTTTCAATTTCGAAAGGCAAAATAATTTACTTTCTCCATTACATGGACAATTAAAGGGTTAGTCTCCTATTTTATTGTTTGCGTAAGTTTCATATTAAATATATTACATATGTATGTTTTATTAACAGTTAAACATATTTTAAGGTTATTTAGGATGCAAATTACGGCAATTAGCCATTTAATATTTAGATAATTGCAACAATTCCCTTGATAATTCTGACATTATATGTTCATGTAGTCTGAATCCAGGTGATAATTGTTATAATTTACCTGTCAATGCAAGATTTGTAAAATTAATTTACTATTAAAATTCACACTGAGCCAATTAGCAACATGGCTTTTCATTCCATAGACATTCCCCACATAGATTATTCTGACATAAGCATTTCATCCCATAGACATTCCCCACATAGATTATTCTGACATAGGCATTTCACCCCATGGACATTCCCCACATAGATTATTCTGACATAGGCACTTCACCCCATAGACATTCCCCATATAGATTATTCTTACATAGGCAGTTCACCCCATGGACATTCCCCACATAGATTATTCTGACAGAGGCATTTCACCCCATGGACATTCCTCACATAGATTATTCTGACATAGGCATTTCACCCCATGGACGTTCCCCACATAGATTATTCTGACATAAGCATTTCACCCCATGGACGTTCCCCACATAGATTATTCTGACATAGGCATTTCACCCCATAGACATCCCCCACATAGATTATTCTGACAGAGGCATTTCACCCCATGGACATTCCTCACATAGATTATTCTGACATAGGCATTTCACCCCATGGACGTTCCCCACATAGATTATTCTGACATAGGCATTTCACCCCATAGACATTCCCAACATAGATTATTCTGACATAGGCATTTCACCCAATGGACATTCCCCATATAGATTATTCTGACAAAGGCATTTCACCCAATGGACATTCCCCATATAGATTATTCTGACATAGGCATTTCACCCAATGGACATTCCCCATATAGATTATTCTGACATAGGCAGTTCACCCCATGGACATTCCCCACATAGATTATTCTGGCAAAGACATTTAACCCCATAGACATTCCCCACATAGATTATTCTGACATAGGCATTTCACCCCAAAGACATCCCCCACATAGATTATTCTGACAGAGGCATTTCACCCCATGGACATTCCTCACATAGATTATTCTGACATAGGCATTTCACCCCATAGACATCCCCCACATAGATTATTCTGACATAGGCATTTCACCCATGGACATTTCCCACATAGATTATTCTGACAGAGGCATTTCACCCCATGGACATTCCTCACATAGATTATTCTGACATAAGCATTTCACCCCATAGACATTCCCCACATAGATTATTCTGACATAAGCATTTCACCCCATAGACATTTCCCACATAGATTATTCTGACATAGGCATTTCACCCCATAGACATCCCCCACATAGATTATTCTGACAGAGGCATTTCACCCCATGGACATTCCTCACATAGATTATTCTGACATAGGCATTTCACCCCATAGACATCCCCCACATAGATTATTCTGACATAGGCATTTCACCCATGGACATTCCCCACATAGGTTATTCTGACATAGGCATTTCACCCATGGACATTTCCCACATATATTTTTTGTCATAGGCAGTTTTCTCCACAGATATTCCATAAATAGTCTATTCTCACATTGGACACTTTATCCGTAGATTCTTACATTTCATCATATCATTTAAAATTCAAAATCTTAACATAGGCCTATTTGAAATCTATTGCTGAATATATAATTTCATAAAAGAAACATTTGAAATCTACTAACAAAATTACATCCAAAGATGTTCCTCAACTTTGAATTTTAAAAGTTACTTCTAAGTCAGGTAAAAAGAGAAATATCTTTTGTTGAACAGAACAAAATAAATCTACATTATTAAGAGGCTATTATGATCAAACTTAAGAATTTACTATTCAAGTTGAAGGGAAATTTTTTCTGTCTTCCCCAAGTTAGTCACCTGGTGGTGAAACTGGTAACTAGTTACAGTATTTGCAACTAGGCAATATCCCAGATGCGAGTAGAAATAATCTTGATTTACGTCATTAAAAATTCACAATTCAGTCAAACTGATGTCATATTTGGAATCTACATGTAAAATTACATTTAGGAATGTGGTTTTGAAAAGAGTTTATCAACTTTGAAAATTTAATTTTCTTTGAAAATGTGACTTCTATGTCGGGGAGATTCCCCATAGACCCCATCTTGTAAAACCACAAAAAGTGAAATATATTTTCTTGTGTTGGGCAGATAATATTTTCTTTTACTGGACATATTTTAATTTGTATAACTATCAGATACATAAAGGTAATATGAAAGGTGAACCACTAAAACTGATGCATATTCAAGTTTAAGGGGATTTTGTGATACCCTGCCATGTTAATTCCCCCAAATCAGCCACCTGGTGGCGAAACTGGTAACTACCTACTCGCATCTGAGTAATTGTATATGCCTCTCAAAGGATTAAATTGTTCTTCTATTTCATTCAAAATTTATAGAAAGAAATATTTTCATGTCATTTATTTCTTAGTCAGATCGACTAACAAAACAATCTTTTTTGGGGTTGTCGAGTTGGCCAAGAGGGCTTGAGCGCCGGCACGTTCAGGCTAGGCGATTGGGCGCCGTAACCACGAGGTTGTGAGTTCGAGACGCGTGTGCTCCTTGCGTTTATTCATTTGTTTTAAAATGTTACTGTTGATTGATTTAGGTTGCCACAACTAGCAGTCATATGGAGTACATCCCATTATCTCCTAAAGGAGAAACCTCTATTAGGTACAGGTAAAAATAATATTAACATCCTTCATATTCATTGGATATGATGTATATTCACCTGTTGGTTAGATCCCAGAGTTTAGTTTGCATGCGCTGGTCCCACAGACATATCTGTCCCTTGTTATCCCCTGAGATAATCTTCCATCCACTCATCTCGACTGTTTTCAGAGACCCCTGGTGTCCCGTAAAGCAAACTATACTTTCGCTACAGCGTAAATCATAAATTCTCACCCTGTAATATATACAACATACATATGTACAATTTATTCCATACTAATAGTGTTATATGTAGATAACATGTGGGAATTTAATTGATACCTGAAGTGAGCGGGTGATATATATATGGGTCCCTACGGTCCCTCGTGTTGATATTTTGTATTTCCCTCAGATATACCCTGTATCAAAAACCTCCCACACAATAACCTCTATATCATATATGATACTAAAATTGTCTTGTGTCATTATCCCCATATATATTTAGTATCCATCGGATAAAAAATATATATGTACTCGTACATTAAAAGGAGTACACTACTAATATATTAAGCCATGGAAAGCGAGGAATGGAGAAAGGGTGGGAGGGGGTAGGTGAAGGAGGGAGAGGGGGACGGGGAGGGAGAAAGAGAGGAAAGGAGAAAGGGAGGCAGAGGGGGAGGGGTAAGTGAAGGGGAAGAGAGGGAGGGACGGGAGAGGGACGGGAGAGAGGTATAACAGGCCTCACTAGCAGATTTGTTCTATTCCCTATAAGTTTTTTTTTTTAGGTTATTGTTATTTCTATCTATATAATTCAACATAATTATTTACATAGATTGTGAGGGGCCGAGGCTACATAGCATTATTGGCCCCCCTCTAGAAAGTTAAAAACATATAATAAATCACTGGAGTGTGTAGGATTGCAACGGACAGACAATCGTCCACCAGGTCTTGCCCATGATGATGTATATGAGTGTTATAAGTTATATATATCATGATGTAATTTGCTCGGACATGTGTTAAAAGAGGACAAAAGACAGTATGCTAAAAACATGTACACATACACGTGTGTTCTTAATTGTCAGCTGTCTGGATTTGTTTTTATTATTTGAGAAATATAGCTTAAATCTGCCAATTAAATGGGCACTAATATTGTGAAAATGACACCTCACAAGAAAATGAAAAATAAAACCAAATTAAGAAAAATATGTGACTATGGTATATGTAAGTATATTGAGTGTTTTTTGTTGAATATTTATTTTTGTTATCTAATACCAGCCATTTGATCAGCCAATAAGATCTTATCTATGAAGAGAGTCGATGATGTCATTTATTAAGCCACACCCATTTAAAAACTCTCTTAATTTCATATTACATGGAACATGACAAAATATTTTTATTATTGTTTTACTGTACAAAGAAATCTTGGAATACCTCTTGGTGCAACTCTTTTCAGAGTCCCAAGACCACTGTAAGTTGAACACCTCCCAAGTGGAACACTTTTAGGGGTACCAAAAGGTGTTCCACTTAGACAGGTTTTACTATACCTCCTATCATCGGATCCCATGACCAGCATGGGCCCCTCTAAATCGAGACTAATGGCACGTATGGTTCCTGTTGATCCATTCAACGTCTGGGTTTCCTTTCCACTTCTCATGCAGTAAAGCCTACACTGAAATATTTGATTTATACATTTCATTCTTTATTCATCAAAATTATGTAAAAATATTTACTTAACATTTAATCAAGGCATAACATAGGATATGGAATTAGTAGTGGCTAATTATCAAGAGCTAAAATACATGTTGAAATGTTTAAAATGTAATATCACAAATATTCTGAGAAATTTGATTTAATAGACCTTTCCGAAAAACCCTATCACCTTTTGGTATATCAACAAAGCTATGAAATATTGGCTAGATTGGTAATGACCTTGAACTCCAAGAAGGGAATATCCCAGAATTCATAATTCATTGATCTCCAAATAAGGATGAACCTCTAGAGGTGTATATTTACATTGAGAAGTAGGTGCATCTATGAATTCTGGGATATTTCCTATGAATTCTGGGACATTTCCTCCTCGTGTGTACTCACTTTGTTGTCAGCCTGGAAAACTCCAAACTCTAAAGATCTTAAAGCAACAGCTAGGACATCTTTGCTAGTTGCTATGGTTGTTATGGAAGAGCCAATCAAATTGTGCAAAGTAGTCATATGACTATCATGTGACCAAGGCTGAACCAATTGGACTCTGTTCCCAGTTGCTATGGTAACAAAATCTTGCTGAGGCACTGTTGGAGTGTAGTTCATATGTTGAATCTAATAAAACATAAAACATGCATTACTAAGGACCCTAGGTGCTCTCTAAAGTAGGTCCACAAAACGCTTGGGCCTAAAATTGGACCAAAGTACATTGAAAAATTGGGCTTCAAATTTTCAACAAGGCATTAACATTAAAAATTGTCACCACCAAGATAGTTATTGCAAATGGCTAAAAAGCAATAGTTACAGAACCAAATGTTTGGCACCCCAAATAGTCATAAAAAATAATCTGTTTCCATGGTAACATACATTCATTGCCACTGTAACTGAAACAGCCAAAAAATGTTAAATGTCGTAACAAATGAACAAGCCTCAGATGTTTATAAAAATTTCAAATCCATGTGAATTGTTAACAATACTTCAATTATTCCAAATGGTTACAAAATGATACAAGTAGTTCACCTATTTGTAGCCATGGTAACAGATATTGGCAGAAATGTATTGGAACCACAGTGTTTTGAAGTAAGTCTAAACAGTACTTGATAAGTTATTAATTGGAAGTTGTAAAAATTTGTTACAGACACTGAAAATCGTCCACAAAAAAGTCTGAGACTAACAATATGTTACCACTTTTAATTCTAATATGGAAAAATAAAGCATGTTAGGAGATGAGACTGAAGTACAGAAGTAGACTGAGTTGAAGCAGAGATAGGGTTGAAGCAGACCTAACCCCCCCTCCTTCTCTTCCTACATCCTCCTCAACAATTTTCTGACAACTGTTAAGTACCTGATCGGGAAAATGCATGTCCATTTTCATGGTCCATTTCTCTTGATTGAATGGCCTGTGTTCCACCCTTAGATGTGACTCTGATGTGGCTATTATGACATCATCGTTACCATGGAGATTGCGTATAGGTTTATTCATGTTGAATGTGTGAACAGGAGTTGTCTCTGAGCCTTCTTTGTTGTACCAGATGTCAACGTTACCTAAAAATAGTAATTCATTACCTGAAAATAGTAATTCATTACCTGAAAATAGTAATTCATTACCTGAAAATAGTAATTCATTACCTGAAAATAGTAATTCATTACCTGAAAATAGTAATTCATTACCTGAAAATAGTAATTCATTACCTAAAAATAGTAATTCATTACCTGAAAATAGTAATTCATTACCTGAAAATAGTAATTCATTACCTGAAAATAGTAATTCATAACCTAAAAATAGTAATTCATTACCTGAAAATAGTAATTCATTACCTGAAAATAGTAATTTTATAGAATTGTTTTTCTCAAACTATGATTGGTTGAACACATATCACATGACATATTATATTCATTGAAATTTCTCTGTTATGGTTAGTATCGTCATTACAAGATGAGTAAGCAGGCCTGTAGCCAGGAGGAATAGGGGGATAGGGTCAAAATCATGCAGTTTTTCACCATTCTAAGCACTTTCCAAGTAAGTTTGGGCCAAAGGAGTGGTTTCGATATGGAGAACTTTTTGAACACATGTTTCTTTTAAACCAGTCATCAAAAAATTCTGAAAATTTTAAACATCATCAATTTAATAATCATCGTTTGAATGGTAACAATATAATTTGAAGAATATATATATACTTACATCTATATTGTTTTAGAAAACACATCAAACACTTGTTTTGTTCTTGGTATCATGTTTCCAGAGTGAAATGAAACATCTTTCCGAAACCTCATTGGAACAAAACGACATAAACACAACATGTTAGGTCTCTCAATATTGTAATTGTACAAAGGAAATTTTGGTTGATTTTAAAAAAGTATCTTGTTAATGAAATAAAAGGTTTATCTTGATTTTTATCTATTTTGGGGGGATTTCGTTTTAAATTTTGAATACTTTTTTAAAATCAACCAAAAATTCCTTTGTATAACTATAATATTGAGAGGTCTAAAAACATGTTGTATATGCTATTTTGTTCCAACAAGGTTCGGAAAGACATTTTATTTCATTCTCAAGAATTGGTAGAAAGGAGCAAAAACAATTGCACTAAAAAAACAAAAAAATGTTAACAAAAAGTTATATAAAATATATAATTTTCGCATTAAATTGTTGTCAATCAGTCAACATTACATAAAATACCATGTTTTTTTAAAGAATGTTTTCAATGATTGGTTTTTAGAGAAAAACATTGTTGAATTCAGTTCTCCATATGGATACCACACCTTTGTCAAATGTGAACCACCCTTTGTGATATCTTTGAACCGCCCTTGGCAAAAGCTGGCTACAGGCCTGGTGTGCTTCATTCACAAATTTTTCCAATTCTCCATTTCCAAATTTCCCTCTTCAAGTTACGAGTCCCCTTCAAATGTATTTACATGACCCCCGTTCTGTATGAGCGAATATTACCTACACTTTGGCCTCCATTTCTCCCCCTCCACCCTGTAGAATGACACCACTCTTAAAAGACATTGTGACCTTCCCCCTGAAGAACTCAACCCAACCTTAAAAGACGTTTTAATAAAACTAAATATACACGCCGTCCTAACTTCGACTGTTAATTTGAATTTTTGACCTACCGGATGTTTGAAAATCAAGGATTACGAGTCTCATACTGCACCGTTTTTCTTCAAACTTGTTCCATTCAAAGCATAACAAAAATCCCTTTCTGATGGTACATTATTCTCTTAAACAGAGTCCCTACTTCCAGTGGCATTTTGGTCCCCAGCTGTAAGAAGGCCTTCTAACAGCTGGGGACCAAAACGCTGCTTGAACGAGGGACTCTTTGCAATAAAGTAATCCAAGGACAGAAAGGCAATTTTGTTTTGCTCTTAATGGTATAAGTTTGAAGAAAAACGGTGCAGTATGAGACTCGCAATCCTTGATTTTCAAACATCTGGTAGGTCAAAAATTCAAATTAACGGTCGAAGTTAGGACCGCGTGATACATGTATTTGGAGGAATACCTGTGTCACTGTGGAGGGCCAAGGCTATTCACATTATTGGCCCTCCTTGGTATTATGACGTACATGTTGCTTATAATTCTTGAAAACAGGAAACTCATGAACAATAATCGGTCAAATTGTAATGATTGGGATGAATGGTTTTGGGTGATAATTATGCAAGATTCACTAAAAATTACCCAATTAAAAATACTATGTATGCGGTAGGGGCGTCAAATCATGACGTACATGTTGCTTATAATTCCCAAAACTTATGAACGATAAATTGCAAAATTGTATGCCAAATTGTAATGATCGGGATGAATAGTCTCTGGTGATATAATAATTATGCAAGATAAACTAAAAATTACCCAATTAAAAATACTATGTATGCGGTAGGGGCGTCAATCATGACATACATATTGCCTAATGACTTAATGACAGGATACTCATGAATTTATTTATCGATTCATTCATTTATCTAAGTGTCACCTATCTAAAATAGCCAGCCCTACCTGGGCTTATGAGACACATTTTACATCAATAGTTAATACAAATGCAAATGTAAAATTAGTGCAGTTCAGTTCAACATCATTATTGATTTTGATTTTTAAATAAAACGCTTTCCTTATATCAAATAGTTTTTGCAAATACTTTCCAAAACATTAAATATATTTTTTATTTTCAAAGATATCTTTAAAGGAAGATTTCCTGAAGAAGACTTTCTAGCTTCTGAATACCTTGAACATTTTATACATACCTGAAAATTTTTAATTGATCCGTCACACAGTTAACTAGAAAACATGTAAACAAGACTTTACAGACAAGATTTTAGGATGGAAAATCCAAAATGGCTGCCTTGACATTTACCCAGAATGTCAAAAAACTAATCTGTTCCTAGATTTTCATACTAAGAATCATCCCTGAAAATATGACATTGATCTACCAAATGGTTCACCTGAAAACGCGTAGACAAGACTTTACAGACAAGATTTTAGGACAGAAAATCCAAAATGGCTGCCATGACATTTACACAGAATGCCAAAAAACTAATCAGATGTAGATTTTCACACTAAGAATCATCCCTGAAAATTTGAAATTGATCTACCAAACGGTTCACCTAAAAACGCGTAGACAAGACTTTACAGGCAAGATTTTAAGACGGAAAATCCAAAATGGCTGCCTTGACATTTATCCAGAATGCCAAAAAACTAATCAGATCTAGATTTTCATACTAAGAATCATCCCTAAAAAATTTGAAATTGATCTACAGAACGGTTCACCTGGAAATGCATAGACAAGACTTTACAGACAAGATTTTAGGACAGAAAATCCAAAATGGCTGCCTTGACATTTGCCCAGAATGCCAAAAAACTAATCAGTTCTACATTTTCATACTAAGAATCATCTCTGAAAATTTGAAATTGATCTACCAAACGGTTCACCTGAAAACGCGTAGACAAGACTTTACAGACAAGATTTTAGGACGGAAAATCCAAAATGGCTGCCTTGACATTTATCCAGAATGCCAAAAAACAAATCAGATCTAGATTTTTATACTAATAATCATCCCTGAAAATTTGAAATTGATCCACCAAACGGTTCACCTGAAAACACGTACCCAAGACTTCACAGACAAGATTTTAGGATGGAAAAATCCAAAATGGCCGACAATAAAAAAGTGATTATGTGTTTTGCTGATTTCTTCTTACAAAATTATCACATATAACTACTGTTAACAATAACATAGGCTTTTACAACAAAGTACATCTGAAATTATTTATAAAGCTACTAAATAGTTAAAGTATTATCGTGCGCTAACTTTTCTTAAGACATTCAAAATGGCTGACATGACTGAGCTAACAGGTCCAAAACCTAATCAGATCTAGAATGAAGTGAGCTGAACAAGATGTTAAAGTTTTAAAAGCAAATGTGAAGCCGTTTTTCTTAAAGTTTGCAGACAAGGATTTTAGCATTTGACTTCAAAATGGCCGACAGGAAGTAGGTATCGAGTTAAATTTTTTTCATCCACATCTGTATGCACTCATAAGTTATCCCTGAAAATTTGAAGGTGACATCTGTAGCGGTTTTGGAGAAAACTCTTGGACGTACGGACAGACGGAGGGACGGACGGACAGACAGACGGACGCGCCTAGGCCGACAATATGGCCCCACACTATGTGGTGGGGACATAAGAAAATGTGATTCATTTTCAATATCATCTGAGTTACAAAGGCACTGTCGTTGGTTTACTGGGGTTTTTGATTGGGTAAATCTCCCCTTTTCTATTGCTAATGGAAGTATACCAGTTCTTAACTGAGCTATTAAAGAGCGTTCACCCCTTGTCAATGATGATATAAGTAAGTATTTTTCTATTGGACAGTCATGTTTAAAAGTTAGGTAAGTCCTCAATTTGGGTTGTGATTCAATGTCTATATGTAATTTTTCTTGTAATTTTAACTTTAGTTTTCTCTTAACAATGCTGATATTAACATATTGTTTCTGGTTACAATGATCATTCATCACTCATTGAAACTGATTTTATATCTGAACACCATCCATTAGGTTGATTATAGTCAATATTAAATATTTTTTTGGTGAGTCTATTAATTTCCATGGATGAAAATTTGCAAATCGTAATCATCAAAATCTTATATTACGCAAGATAAACTAAAACTAAAAATGGCCCAATTAAAACCAGAACAACGGCAACGCCAAAGCGTAGCGAATCCTATCGAACAGAAATGGCTGGCATTTTTACAAACGAAGCGCAAATATCATAAAACAACACACCAGAAAGGCCACCATTTTTCAAAATGGTTGCTCACTAGCCAAGTTGTCATCAGAAGAAATAATATGCTTTTAATTAGCCACCTCTAAATTTTTGAAAAATCGCACACGTACTTGTAAAATAACACACATAAAAATGGTGGCCATTTTTCAAAATGGCCGACTACTCCCCAAAGTTTTATTAGACAATGTGCCAGGCTTAAAGTATTCACATGTCAAATATGAACAAAATCGCTACACTACTTTTCGAGTTATAGTAAAATACGTTAAAATGGCGGCCATTTTTCAAAATGGCCACCTTCTACCAAAAGCGTCATTAGAAATAGACAGTGTGCCATGCTTATAGTATTCACATACCAAATATGAACAAAATCGCTCCACTACTTTTCGAGTTATAGTAAAATGCGTTAAAATGGCGGCCATTTTTTTAAATGGCGGCCATTTTTTTAAATGGCGGCCATTTTTTTAAATGGCGGCCATTTTTCAAAATGGTCGCCTTCTACCAAAAGTGTCTTTAGACAGTGTGCAATGCTTATAGTATTCACATACCAAATATGAACAAAATCGCTCCACTATTTTTTGAGTTACAGCCAAAATTGTAAAATGACGAGTAAAGGCCGCCATTTTTCAAGATGGCTGCCATGTGCTTCTTTAATATCTACATTTGTAGCATTATTAATGTCCTTTATAATCTTTTACATTTAAAACATATTGCTATTACAGTTTTACATATTGCACCTAAATTACTGTAAAATCGTCACTAAAATGGCCGCCATTTTGAAATGAGTGACCATTTTGAAAATCGGCTTTCGAGCAAAACTTCTACCCCCATAGGGTATATGTGTACAAAATATGAACAAAATCGGTCCAACGGTATTTGAGTTATTGCCCGGACGGACGGACGGACGTACGTACGGACGGATGGACGGAGGCGTTCCCTATATCCCTCCGAACTTCATTCGATGGGATAATTATAACATAAGCCATAGAGGCACCAAATCATGATGTCCATATTGCTCAGACTTGATGACAGGAAACTTATGAACGATATTTGCAGAATTGTCACGATCGGAATGAATAGTGTCTGGTGATAATTATGCAAGGTGAACTAAAAACAACTCGATTATAAATACTGCTATGTACGGGGCATCAAATTATAAAATCCCAACTAGGTAATAATTATAGAGATTATTAGTTTCTGGTGATAATCATGCAAGATAAACGGAAAAAAACAACAATTAAAAATACTATATAGGGCCAGGGGCATAAGAATATACAATTCCAACAAGGTAATTGTTAGGTTATACGTTCAAAGCCATATTTTGGTCAAAAATATCATTAAAAAATAATATAATTAATCACTTATCAGGCCTGAAGTAGTAGTCATACATTTAAAGAGATGCATTTTTCTCATTCTGCTATGCCAGAGCTCCATCTATCTGCCATTTGAGAAAGGATGGATAAAGACAAAGGGGGCGTAGCTATCGCAATGCATTTTTCTCAAAATACAAACCAAGGTACAGTCATCTATTATGCCCTTAACTAAATCATGAATCCAAAATCCTACATGTATTTTACATGACAGTTCCTTATGGTTTGTCTTTTGAGAAAAATGCATATGGTACTGTGAACACCTATAAGACCTTACTTGGACAGTACATTAAGAGTATGGTACCGTACCATTCAAGTACCATGTCATAAGTGTTCATGGTACCATATGGTACCTTTTGAGTCTACGGTTCCATATGGTACCAAATTTTACAGTTTTGAACAGATAGTGTCATAAAAATAGTACCAAACAGTACTGTCATAGATTGTGGGTGTGAATATATTTCATCAGATATCTCAACATAAGTTAAGATTTTAAGAGAAACGTTGGTATGGGTTTTGAAATAATTGCTTTGAAGACGTGCATTTCACATTCATTATCACATCAAATATTATTTTTAAGTAATATTCTCACTAATTTGAAAATTATATACTTACCTAAACAATAACCAGCTGATGTCAATTGTTAACTATAACGTGTGTTTTTGTGACGACATTACACAAAGTTCCTTGCTCTACATTGGGGTTTATGACAACGAAGGCGAAAGATTTTGAAATAATTTGAAGTTAAATTCTCACCTGATTCTAAAATGGTCAAAAAATTATATAATTATTACCTAGAGAATAACCAGCTGACGTCAGTTGTGAATTAACGTGCGTCTTTGTAACAATATTACCCAAAGTTCCTTGCTCTACATTGGGGTCGATGACAAGTGAGGTATTTGACGGTTGAAATATACACTCATCGTTGTTAGACAGGTCCCAGTATTTTACATGCCCACTTGTATAACTGAAAAAATGAAAGAAAGAATGTCAAGCTACAGGAGTACGAGTCCATCACCAGGAGGGTTGGGGGGGGGGGGGGGGGTCAGGGGCAAAAATTGAAGTCCTTATAAGGCATCAAATCTGAATTGAAACTAAATGCATTTTTATATTTTATTTAACTAATTTAATCAGACACCTTTCCAAAAATGCAAAAATATCAGATTTTGTTTTAATGATTTCATTAATGAATATGAGCAATTTTTGTCTCCAAATACTTAAACGAGATATAAAACTAAGTTGGATTTCAAGAAGAAGAGAAGACATGTCGTCCTGATTGGTCAAATCGACAGACAAAAAATGGCAGTTTCAAAATTTTTGATAGAACCAAATGATACAGCCTGCTGGTAAAGCATGCTGAAAACACATGAAGCTATAGCAAAATAATTGAACCAACAGCATGGCAGGTACCAAAGTTAACTCACCCAGCTACAACTTGGGACCCATGGGAGTGGGCGCTACACAACACTCCACCCTTAATGAACTGCAATGGGCTATATTCTCCTATTCTTTCCTGAAAATTAAAAACAGTCAATTCTATTTCCAATTAATTACTTATGACACAATACAGCAACAAGTACACTGGTGATCCACTCGATTACGCTGGTTACCAAAACGGTTCGTTTTGGTAACAAAATGTCGGAAGATCCGGAAGGTACGATTTTCTCGTTTCCTTATTTTACACGTTGTAGGCAGAATTACCACGACATGTTCTAACACAAACGTGTATCAGTATCATATGTTTAAGAAATTGTACATATTTGCGAACAAATAGTTCAGAAGACAACAGAATCGTCGATTTACTTCCTCACTTAAGTTACATAAACGGTTTCGGTTAAAAGTGCAGATCTTAACTGTTTTTCGAAAAACCGTTTATGTAACTTAAGTGAGGAAGTAAATCGACGGTTCTGTTGTCCTCTGAGCTATTTTTCGCAAACATGTACATTTTCTAAAACATATGATACTGCTGCACGTTGTGAGAAAAAACGTCGTAGGGATTCTGCCTACAACGCGTGAAATAAGGAAAAAAGAAAAATCGTGCCTTCGACGTTCCGACATTTTGTTACCAAAACGGTTCGTTTTGGTAACCAGCGTAATCGAGTGGATCACCAGTGAAGTACAGCAAAATCTTTGTACGTGGCACACCTTTGGTATCTCTAAAAGGTGTTCCACTTGGAAGATTAGGAGGTGTTTCAGAGGTTTATTGAACATTAAGTCAATTGGTAATGCAACTCTGAAAAGTGTTCCTCTTACACAGAAGTTTCACTCAAAGAGGTGTTTCCATTTACAGACATGTTCCACTTACAGACATGTTCCACTTACAGTAGTGTTCCACTTACAGAGGAGTTCCACTTACAGAAGCATTCCACTTACAGAAGTGTTTCACTTACAGAAGTGTTCCACTTACAGAAGTGTTCCACTTACAGAAGTGTTCCACTTACAAAAGTGTTCCACTTACAAAAGTGTTCCACTTACAGAAGTGTTCCACTTTACAGGTTTCACTGTATACTGACTTGATCATGCAGGTGGATGGTGGAATTAATTTCATTAGTTACATATTTAGTATTTTGTAACCAATAATTAAGAAAATGTTTATTTGTCACATTTTAAGTGGTGGAACAATTACCGTCCTGTAACTGTGCTTGTTATTACCTTAAACTGTAATTGCTATCCATTTAATTTAGCTAATAAAAATGATTAAATCACACATTGTTTTACGTAACATGAAGGGGGACCCCATGAAAGAAGAAATTATTAGAACGTGTAGAATGAGTCAATTTTAACCTCTTGAGTCCCAGGCTCTTAAATTGGTTTGAAACCAGAGGATTTTTCACCAAGTTGGTGAAATTAGTCAGCAGAGATCATTTCTAAACATTTTAAAATGTATTTTCTGTAAATTGGATAAGAATTATTCAAATTTGATTTAGAGCATTTTTTAGTGTAAGATCATTTCTACATACTGTAGATTGGGTTAATTTGGCGCCCGCTTTAATTTGGCGAATTTGGCGATATTGAAAAATTCGCCAATATAAATATTCGCCAAAATTTAGAATGAATCCCCGGGAATTATCTAGGGTATTTCGTCCAGTGTATTTAGGTTACTTTAGGTTTAGTTTTTCCAAAAATATGAAAAAATGTCTCTTATAAATTGGCTAAGAATTGGTCAGTCACTCATTGATACTCAGGGAAAAGCGCAATATAGTAGCAGCATCAATCAAGGTGCAACCAACCAACCAAAATGTAAAGGATGATCTCACAAAAATGTACAAACGTAGTGAATATCGCCAGTGGTCCTCAAAAGAAAAAATTAACATAGCCAAACCATTTGCATGGTAATTCACAAACAGCGCGTAAGTTAAATTGCATTTAATTTTTTTTTCTAATTGCATATCCGCCAAATTAAATTACCGCCAATATGCCAAATATGGCAAAATCGCCAAATTAAGTAGCGCCAAATTAACCCAATCTACAGTAATAATTTGAAGACATTTTTGTGTAAATTGGATGAAAATTGTCCAAATTAGAGCAATTTTAGTGAAAAATTTTGTAACAGATTATCTCCTCACTCTAGTTTTCAAGGTCATTTCTGGGGTGATGAGAAATCCCCTCACTCTGGGGGTAGTAAACCTTATGAGTAAAATTAGTAAACCTAATGAGTGATTTTTCTGGAATTGAGATGACAAGCAAAAAATGACTGCTAGAAACAGAAAAACAGTAATCCTATAGTTTATTAGCTCTAGACTTTGACTTTTCTAACACTGGAATTGAAATGGCGCGTCAAAGTAGACACAAAATCCCACAAAATGTAAATATCCAATGCCATACGTACCCTCCAATTATTTTGCAGATTTTTAGCTGTAGCCAAATTATCCTTGAATCGTTGTTTCCAGCCATTCTCTGCAACTGTATCTAAGTGTAAATCGTAGCCGGCCCTGTGGCTAAGTGTGCACCATAAAAGCTCATCCTCCGCCAAACTCTGCCATGCTTTACTCACCTAGAAAGTACAATAGGACATTCACACATATTACATATTGAGAAGCTCGACAGATATGCATGATGAAAACTTCTATTGAGTGGGAAGCTACCTTAACCATATCTAGGGCTAACTAATGATTAATCAGTGTTGACCGGTTTATCTAAAACATCTAAACATTTCAAAATAAATAAAGTTTGAGATCTGACAATGGCAAGATGATTTGATCCTTTTTTAAGATAATGACTAATAAGCCTGCCATCTTTATATTAATCAAATTCCAATCTCTGACAATCTTTGAAATATAAATCTGAAGCTAAAATATAAGTACATATTCATTCTAACCTGTGCACATCTACATTCTTACCTGAGCACATCTACATTCTTACCTGAGCACATCTACATTCTTACCTGAGTACATCTACATTCTAACCTGTGCACATCTACATTCTTACCTGAGCACATCTACATTCTTACCTGAGCACATCTACATTCTTACCTGAGTACATCTTCATTCTTACCTGAGCATATCTACATTATTACCTGAGTACATCTTCATTCTTACCTGAGCACATCTACATTATTACCTGAGCACATCTACATTCTTACCCAAGCACATCTGCACTCTTACTTGAGTACATCTTCATTCTTACCTGAGCACATCTACATTATTACCAGAGCACATCTTCATTTTTACCTGAGCACATCTACATTATTACCTGAGCACATCTACATTCTTACCTGAGCACATCTACATTCTTACCAGAGCACATCTTCATTCTTACCTGAGCACATCTATATTATCATTTGAGTGCATCTACATTCTTTCCTGAGCATATCTATATTATCATTTGAGTGCATCTACATTCTTACCTGAGCACATCTATATTATCATTTGAGTGCATCTACATTCTTTCCTGAGCACATCTATATTATCATTTGAGTGCATCTACATTCTTTCCTGAGCACATCTATATTATCATTTGAGTGCATCTACATTCTTTCCTGAGCACATCTATATTATCATTTGAGTGCATTTACATTCTTTCCTGAGCACATCTATATTATGATTATCATTTGAGTGCATCTACATTCTTTCCTGAGCACATCTATATTATCATTTGAGTGCATCTACATTCTTTCCTGAGCACATCTATATTATCATTTGAGTGCATCTACATTCTTTCCTGAGCACATCTATATTATCATTTGAGTGCATCTACATTCTTTCCTGAGCACATCTATATTATCATTTGAGTGCATCTACATTCTTACCTGAGCACATCTACATTCTTACCTGAGCACATCTACATTCTTACCTGAGCACATCTACATTCTTACCTGAGCACATCAACATTCTATCCTGAGCACATCTACATTCTTACCTGAGCATATCTACATTCTTACCTGAGCACATCTACATTCTTACCTGAGCACATCTACATTCTTACCTGAGCACATCAACATTCTTACCTGAGCACATCTACATTCTTACCTGAGCACATCAACATTCTATCCTGAGCACATCTACATTCTTACCTGAGCATATCTACATTCTTACCTGAGCACATCTACATTCTTACCTGAGCACATCAACATTCTATCCTGAGCACATCTACATTCTTACCTGAGCATATCTACATTCTTACCTGAGCACATCTACATCCTTACCTGAGCACATCTACATTCTTACCTGAGCACATCTACATTCTTAACTGAGCACATCTACATTCTTACATGAGCACATCTACATTATTACCTAAGCACATAAATATCTATATTGTTATCCAAGCACATCTGCAAACTCTTAACTGAGCACATCTTTATTCTAGCCTGAGCACACCTACATTCTTACCTGAGCACATCTTTACTCTTCCCTAAGCACATCTATATTCTTAACTGAGCAAATCAACATCCTTACCTAAGCACATCTACAATTCTACCTGAGCATATCTATATCTCTATTGTTATCCAAGCAAATCTGCACACTCTTACCTGAGCACATCTGCAGAGGTCTTTGGGTTCCAAGTATTTAAACATAGAAACTGCAACTTCTCTAGGAATCTGGATGTCAAAGAATGGAATTTCATTGATTTCATCCTACAACAGAAAATAATAAAAACGAACATCACAAACAATGGCATTATTTTAATATACTGTACAGTCATGGTCATCTCGTTTTGTATCATTGAGTTTCTAGTGACCAAATATTTCTCGCATAGCATTCACATCGGTACAAAATAGATCTCACCACACTGTGAGTTTTTAAGAATCCACATTGTTCTTTCCCTCTGCTATAACCAATTTGGAAGCGCATGATAAAACTGAATCACATGATGTAATTATGCGCCGATGACGTATACATGATTTCTTTCACAATGTTGCAACAGCGAATCAAATTGCAAGTTCTTAATTGGGGAAATGCCAACTGCTTATCGCAGGGAGTAAAAAGAAAGAAGATATTCTGGATTTTGAAGCCCTGTGATCGGAGGAGCTGATCATTCCAATAAGTTCATTTTTAACATTTAGCCCCTTGCCTCAGCTATGATACCACCAAGCAAACTCACGGTATCATTATACCAGTAATTCACACCTACCAAATCAGCAATTAATGTATCAACGAGATTTCCCTCTTCTGTCTGTCCATCTAATTTTCTTCGTTTACTTTTAAAATCGAGTGGGCTTGATCTCCCTGTCTTATTTTTTTCAAGTCTGTTATGATGCACAATATCTGAATTAGAAGTCAATGTATCTAATTCTTTATGATGGGAAACTTTACGATGCGGTTTAATCTCTGAGTGCGTTGATGTAGGAGTGTTCGATATACTATGCTCCGCTAAATGGCCACTTAATAATTTTTCAGCTATAAGGAAAGGTTCTATAGTATTCTCCTTTAATTCAGCTTCCTTTACATGGCGTTCATACCAGCTACCTGGATCAAAACTACCTGATTTTTCTTTAGCTTTTTCTGGATTTTCATTTTCAAAATGATTTTGTTTTTGAGTTTCTTTTTCATTATTCTGCGTTGTACTAGGATGGGATTCACTATTTGATTGACAACCACTAGATGAACCTCGTTTAGGGGCATTAAGTTCATTCTTCCAAGCTTCTCTGAATGATTCTAATCGCTTGGATACATCCATTTTTAAAAAAATATGTAAATACTTGAAATCTGAAATGTTTACAAAATGTCTCATTATCACACACCACAGTTAGAATTAAGCTCCTAAAAAGATAAATAGATAGGTTTTCTCCTGATATGTTTTTGTAAGAGTGATATGCTTTATTTGAAGCAGATAAGAATATATTTGATTAATCTTTGCAACTAATAGTACTTAATTAGTCTAATAGGATATAGAATAATAACTGTGATGTATGCTTTTCTGCCGGATTACGTTTCAGGATCCCATACACGGAGTTTTTAAAACAAAATAAATAACATAATATTGATTGTGTATTTAAATTTATTACATGTATAGTTAGAGACAATATTCATTTCCAAGTGACGCCTGTTTCTTTGTAGGAAATGATGTACGTAGTGAAATATCTGTGCATTTCCAAACCGGCAGATATTTCGTTGCACAACAATATGGCGGACACATGTAGAAAACAGATTATCGCCCAATAGTTAACCCATATTTTAGCAAAATTCAATGTAATTAGACTCATTCAGTACTTTATTTGTGTTTATCATAATGGCAGAAGCTCTGAAGCGTTTTGTTGCACGGATCACTACATCCAAAACGAAGGAAAGATGCGAAATCTTTGAGGATTTACAACCCATACTTTCAAAAAGTGGTGAGATTTTTTTTTTTTAATTTTTGATTTTGAATTGCGTCTTTTAGGACCTATGCTTACTAATTACACTTGATTGCCATTATATATTTGACTTGTTCTGAAGAGATGATTGAAACCCTGATTGCTACTTATTGCATGAAGTTTCTCCCCACCATCTACTTTTCCATATGAGAATTTTATCTTGAGGCCCGGGTCCCTATATCAAGTCTCATATAAAATAGTTTCAGATACGAGACTCCATATTCCCTCTGATTTACCTCTTTCAAAGGCGGACTAATCTGATAGAACAGCCTTCAGGCCCGTAGCCAGGATTTACCGAGTGGTTTTACCAAAGCTCAATACCTCCAAATAAATAATTAACTTTTTTCTGTTCTTTCAGATCTTCCTGAAGCTACATTAAAGGGCATCCTCAAGACGTGTGTGTTTACACTTAGTCGCTATAGAAATGCGAAGTCGAGGATTGCTGTCGACAAGATATTTGAGATATTGGCAGGGGAGCATGATGTGGCCGCATGTAAAAACATTGTCTCTGCCCTTGCCCCTATTACTAAGGATATCAGGAATGGAGCGTAAGGAAAATCTTTTTTTTCATTCAAGTGTCTTGCCAGAATTGATTGAACAACCTGATATTTAGAACAACAATGAGTTTCATAGTTTCATATACTCCATCTGGTATTTTAGTTTTGCTTCAACATTTTGCATGGGCACAATTTATCCAAATCACAAATACTGTTATTATTATCCCAACGAACGAAGTTCGGTAGGGATATAGTGAAGCCCTCCGTCCGTCTGTCCGTCAGTCTGTCAGTCCGTCCGTCTGTCTGTCCGGAAGATAACTCAAAAAAAAAATTTCAAAATGGCCGCCGCTTTAAAAATGACGGGACTTTTTCACAAAAATCATAAAGTTTTCATTCTAAACCAAAGTAATTAATATTATTGTTTGAAAATTTGGTAGTATATTCACAACATTTATCTATTTCACATATATTCCGTGTTTTTCATCCTGACCCCCAGGGGCGGTGTATGGGGGGACAGGAAAACAGAAATTTTCGCTAATTTTTAGATCTTTCTGAAGTACAGTATAGCTTTATTATACTCAAATGAAAGGCAATTAAGAGTAGATTGCAAATATTGTATCTTTTTTCTGATTCGAGCCTCATTAAATTCAAAATGGCTGTTTAATGTACGATTTCGCAATAATTTTTCGATCCCTTCAAAGTATGGCTATATTATACTCAAATTGAAGGAATTTTGGAGTAGATCACAATTATGGTATTATTTTTCAGATTTGTACCTCAGAAAATTCAAAATGGCTGCTTTCCAGGAATTCGCAATTCTAAAATCTAATTTTTTCAATTTTAACCAAAGTAATGAGTATAATTGATTGGAATTCGGTAATTGATATTTTGTTCGTTGGGATTTGCTACTCCGCGGAGTTGCCCTTATCTAGTTTTTTCACTCAAAATTTTGATTTATTTTTTAATTACAGTAAGTCAACATGCGCTGATGAATCGTTCAAGGCTCTTGGTTGGACATGTATATTGATACGATGCGGTAAGGATGGTTGTCAAGGTGATGTGCTGAAGCAGATGTTGGACCTACAAGCCAGTCTGGTTTACGGTGCACTAACCGCTAGACGCCTTGTACAGAGACAGGCTGTATATAAGCGACTATGTAGACTTTGGACTGAGGTAGGTACCATCTATCACAATCAACTAATATCATTATTTTATACAATTTTTTGAAGCCCTGTGATCGGAGGATGGGAGATTGCTGCATAAATGTTTTCTGAACTATCTCAAATATTGCTTTGTCTATGTCTATGTCAATAATCTGCAAAAGGCTAATTAGCCCATATAAAGCAGATATATAATTTAACAGTGATAGAATTTGAATAGAATATAATTTAAAACCTTAACATTTAAAATTAGATCTATGGTTTGCAACTCGTTTTAAAATTGAAAGGAACCTTCCTGGTTGGCCCCTGTACCCCCTTAGTAAGTCCCTTTATGTTGAAATACCCTGGGGCGACTGACTTTATGAAGGTTGAGTGATTGTAAACTGCTAATCTGCAGAAAAGGTAGCTTTTCGATCCCCTGACTGCATTCTTATTATCGAATAATCATTTTTTGTTTCTAATCTCAACATAGTTAGTAAAGTGTATCATAACGATACATATTGTAAATTGACACCTTTAAAGGCCCCATATGAAAACATATTTTCAAATTTTACATGGGACCTTTAACATCCTGATACATTTCCTTACATTAGAGATGTCACGGAACAAAAAAAAATCGGAGCGGTTTGGTTCGGAACATTTTGGTTGGAACGGAACAATTTTGGAATTTTTTTATCCATGACACCTCTACTTTACATGCAAAATCTTTTGTTGATTACTTCTAGGCTCCCCAGTTTGTCGAGAAATACTGCGAGTGGATGAAGTCTAGCGAGTCCAATATCTACAAACTGACCTTGTGTGGCCTTTTAGTCCAATTCCTTGTGTCAACTAAAGCTACGGACACTCTCACCAAATACAGAGACTCATTTATTGAGACATATACCAAATCTGTTCTTAGTGGTAGATCACGCCCAGCAAAGCATGCCATGGAGGCATGCAGACCCCTTCTAAAGTTAATCAACCATGCTGAGTTCAAGGAGTCCGTTTTGCCTGCTTTGCAAAAGGCGATGTTACGCAGTCCTGAAGTGACGGTTGAGGCAGCTGGGTACCTTGTAGAAGGGGTCTCTATTGATCTCAGTCAGTATGCTATGGAAATCGGAAAGAATCTTGCTAGTAAGTACATTTTTTATTTCAATTAAATACATTTACATACATAAGTATATATATACTGTACAAATAATATTAGTGAAAGCATACATAAATAGTATTTGGAATAACAGCTGATCCAAGAAATTAATTTACATTTGCTCATATGGCATTCTAAGAACATTTATTGGGAATGAATGGTACGGGGGGGGGTTGTATTGAGATAATATATAAGGTGACTTCAGATAGACCTACCTTCAAAAACATTGATACAACAGTCAAAAGGACCACAGTGCAATATCATATTGAAAAATACATTCATATTTTTGATTGCAAATGTTTGTATATTTTGTATTGTTTGTTTTAAGTAAGTTAAGACTGTTGACTACATGATCGACTGTTAAGTGTTATGACTTGAGTGTTGACAGTACTCTCTATATATTGTACTGTACTGTATGTATACTGTATTGTACTGTACTGCATTCTATTGTATTGCACTGCACATGTACCGTATTGTACTGATTTACAACTTAATTACAGGTCAGTTGCATGCCAAGGAGGAACGTATCCGTGATGATGCTGTGGTTGCTATAGAGAAATTAGGAAAACAATGCAGTGACTCAGATGCAGTTTCTAAGCTCGTGAAGCACATCATCGCCATCTATAATGGTAAGTTCTGATATTCATATTTTATCTTGGGCAAGGCAATAACTTTTGAACAAGTGTCAGTGATCTCTTTAGCATTGAAGCAAGTGGGCACTGTGCCTACCTGAAAAACCCATTTGCATCTACATGTACTTGAAAGTGAGAGAAATCTGGTAAAAAATCAGAATTTTTGTTTAGGTGGATACTCAGAACAAAGAACATGTTATGCTAAATTTTACAATTTAGTCAATGTAGTTAGCGTGGATTCTTTCTACACATTTTAAAGCATAGTATGTTTTGATTTTATTAAAATGATCAAAGTATGAAACATTTTTGTGAAAAGTCTGTGACATTATCTCGTCACTCCAGGTCTCAAGGTCAATTCTTTTGTGACAAGAAATCTCGTCAATCTAAGCAGTTAAAAGCTTTTCTGAAATTTATTCTTCTTTTGATTCTAGGAAGTGAAGGAAAGCTGGTTGTCGTTGCGGAGAAAATCAGTGTCCTGTCAGGGTTGGGAAGGTTGTCTAGCAACCAGGTGACTGGTAGCCAATCAGTGAGCAGTCTTGGAACAACAGTTGTCGAGTCTTTTATCCCGATACTCCAACAAGAAGGTACAAAGAAATTTAATGCATCTACAGGGATTTTATTAACAGCAAACATAAGCAATTTTCATTAGTTATTTTCATCTGCATCTTTAAAATAAGAATTTAAATGAAACCCCTCCAGCTGTATATTTTTTTGCAGCTATTTAATTTTTGATATAAATGTTTCTTCAAAGTACTGTAAATCAAATTTTGGTTCGATGATTATGTTTGTTTTGGAGCATTTTAAGTCTTATTTTAAGTGACTTATATTTCTTGCTTAGAAATAAGTGTAACATCAAGTCTCCGAGACACTCCCCCACCCCCAACTTAAAACCGTACCTTCTATAGATGGGGTCATAAGGGCTAGATTCAAGACTATGAAGACTATGCATGGAGAATGGTTATGCTGCAATCTGATTGGTTGAAAATCTCTCATATAATATGATCATGTTTGAATTCTAGATATGCTATAGTTTGCCCATTTCTGTTTCAGTACATGAAGCTACACTGATTCACACTATTCAGATGCTGTCACTCTGGGTGTGCAGGTTCTCTACTGATCTCCCAAAGAAACTCATTGAATGGTTTAAGGTAGGTTGACAGTTAAATCAGAGATTTCTGAGATTTGTACAATCAAAATGTAGAATGTGAATGTACAACATGAACTTGTAAGCATATGAACTATAAGCCATTCAAAGTTCATTATATGTACAACATTGTTGTTTTAATGAAGAAAATACTGAAGCTAAAATACATGTATTATATCCTTGACAGTCTACAAAAATCAGCATATTTCATTTACTTTTAGACTGGGCTTGGGTTGAAGTCATCCACAAGTGGTGTGAGAATGGCATACATTCAGTGCATGAATGCAGCATTCCAGGGTGACTGCCTCATTCAAGCCATGGACGTTCTCCCTGTTTTGTTGAAGACAGTAGACAAAGCCAGTAGCCAATCCACTCAACATGGTCTCGTCTCAGAGGCACTCAGTGCCGCCTGTCTGCTCCTGAAGCTATCAACTGTTGATATCCAAGCAGGTAAGTTTTTTAAAATGGAGATTGAGCCATATGTTTTTGAGAGAACTTGAACATTAATCTTTAGAGTTAAGTTGTTAGACATTTTTAAAAGATAAACTTTTTTAATAAAACATTTACTTTAGATTTCATAGGCAAAACTTGGCCTATTCTGGACTGTGATTTTGAAAATACAAAACCAAAATGACTTGTTAACAATATAAAACTAAAAGGAGCACGTAGGTTATCGCAAACAATTTCAAACGATTCTAACTTGAATTATGAATATTTTTTGATCATGAATATGGGTGTATCTTTTAGATCCATTCATTATCTTCAAGAAAAGTATATATAATGATAATTTAGTTAATCAGACCTAAGTGATATTGAAGGGGCAATGGACCAATCAACATACTTTTACAAAAATGTTGACCTAATTTTCACCAAAAATGCAACCTATTATTATATTGTTGAATGCATAATTAGAATGTGCTTTGAGACATGTTCGATTTCCTAAAAGGAAAATTTGATTGCTCCAGGGACTTTAAAGATATTCAATTTGGATGACCAAAATGAACTGAAACCAATGGATAGCATGAGATTTTTCAATGGAGAAATAACATGGGGAACACTTATCTTAATGCAATTAAGTTTTTCTGTCAAGAACTATTTGATACATCAAAATAAAGAATAGTAATGCATTAAACATTGTAAAAAATGATTGCATTTTTGGTGAAAATGGGGTCAACATCTTCAAAATGGGGTCAAAAAGTGTGTTGATGGGTTAATTGCTAGTTAAATATCTTCGAGTTTGTTTGAATTTATTATTACTGTGCATAATTTTCTTTGAGATAATGAATTGATCTAAAAGATAAACTTGTCTTCATTGTCAGAAAATAGTCATAATCCAAGATATAACCTTCTGAAATTGTTTGCGATAACCCACGTGCTCCTTTCTTAATAAAACATTTACAATACATTTCAGAGGCGAAACTTGGCCCATTCTGGACAGTGGTATTAGATATGAAAAATGACTTATTCATGAATGACAAGTTTGTACAACAAGCCTCGGAAGAAACCATTCTCTGCATGTGTACATATATAGAAAGACTTCTCCTCGAGCATCCTCAGAGGCTCACAGATAAACTATCGCAACAGCTTTACAAGGGTATGATATTTGTCCTTACACGTCCTGCATGGAGGATTCGTAAGCAAGGCCAGTCGTCCACCAAGAGAATTCTGTCTGCACTAGGTGGCGCTAATGTAGCATTGGGCCTACTAGCTCAGTTTAGGAACTTTATTTCGACGCAGCAGGTGAGTTTTAATGGTCAGATTCAGAAAAATATTGGGAATGATATATTTAAGAAAGGTCCATGGCGTGATTTGTGAAGTTGGTTGATCATTCAGGGAAACCTATAACTAAGGTATTGAAGAATTCAATCAGAATTGTATAGCAATTTAGAATACTGTCATTGAGAACTAGAATTACAGCATCTTGATAATGACAGAATATGCTGTAATATGGCTTTTCGTCTCCTGTAGTAAAAAGTCTTGTAGACCTACCTTGCCTATGTAGACTCCTTTGTCGTCAAACTGTTCTGTTTCTTATAGCCTATAGACTGGGAGATCTATGATGAGACAGAACATGCTAAATGCATAAAACCAGGAATTCTGGCTGCTTGTGTACAGACCATTTGCCAAGTTCCAGGATGTGAACCTGCTGCTGCGGGGAGTATCGTTCTTCACTCTTTGATTGACGCTCATCACCCATGTATTGGTAAGTTACTCCAATAATAGTTTTATGCATCCTCGTGATTGTTCCATGCATTCAAGGAATGTTTCATACATCTTACAGTTATTGTTTTACATATTTTAATTATCAATTTCAGTGATTCTTCTTTGCATTTTCAGTGACTCTTCTTTGCATTTCCAGTGATTGTTCTTTGCATTTTCAGTGACTCTTCTTTGCATTTCCAGTGATTGTTCTTTGCATTTCCATTGATTGTTCTGTCCATTTCAATTGATTGTTTCATGAAGTTCTATTTTTTTCTCTGAATTTTAATGTGATTGCTCCATGTTTTTTCAGTGATTAGTTCTATCCCTTCAAGTGATTTTTCCATGCATCTGAAGTGATTGATTAATGTTATTCTTGCAGTAATGTTCAATGGAGACTGCTGGGTGGAGATTGCATCTTTACTCAATGTAGACATCCTAGAATTTCTCAAGAACAATCTCCAGACAGTGATGGCATCCATAAAAAACCAAACTCCATTAACTCAGGTAGGTAATTCCACACTATTTCATTGTCATATTTCAAACTACTGTGATTGCTACAGTACATGCAAAAGCTGTATAAGTGAAACACATTTGGTATCTCAAAATATTTTGGCACTTTACTCACGATGCCCATGTCAAGCAGCGTGCCTACTAGGCATGCAGTTTGAAACTCTGACAAACTGCGCGCATATTTCAAAATGTGAGACAGGGAGGACACGACTCCCAAAAAGAGCAAAAATACGAAAAATACAAGGTTAGTCTCGTTCTAAAGATAGTACCATTCTGTGAAGATGAACTTAATTTACTCATAGTACTCAATGTTTTTCCCATTGTAAACCTAGTTATCTCAATATAAGGGTCTTAAGTAATTTCTGTGTTCAAAATTTACAGTGTAAAGTTATATCTATGTCTTTTTATCGTCATTTGCCGTTTATTCAGCCATTGTGTCTGTGTATGCTAGAATATATAGGATCCCTCCATCTGATTAAATCAGCAAAGTTTGTGTTCAAAACGATAATACGCCATAAACGTGATTTAAACATTTTTCTTGTCAAACTGCGCGCCTATATTCACATGTTTTTCCCAAACTGCGTGCCTAATATTTCCAAACTGCTTGCCTCCAAGCTTGTTTTGTATTATTAGAAAACATAAGCGCCATACAAGGCACATATGTGTCTAATAGTAGAACCCCATAATTGAAACACTATGAGAGTCCATCCACCAAGGTGATCTGAAAATAAAAGTTTTTTTCATTCCCAACTTAATTGTCACTTCTATTATACATTTTGACTTTCAATATGAAAATCTCATAAAATCTGACGATAAAGCAAAATTTCCAAAGCTACATGAAAAACACCTACACGTGCCTCTGTAGAAATTCCAATGATAATATGTAGTTCTAATAGTGTATGCGCACAGTTTGTAATTTCTGGCTAAAATAGGCGCGCAGTTTGTGATTTATTTCTTTTTAATCTCCTGATTATCTGTTTTATCTCGAAATATTTTGAATTATACATAATAAATGTGTAAGGAATTAAATATAAAATGAGTCTAAAGTATTTGTAATTTATGTTTAAAGTGCTAGATCGATTTACGTATACATTCCCGTTAAATCAGTGACGAAAATGCAATTAATCTTCTTAATTTTAAAACTTAGATTCATTTCACATAGTTTTTGCTAGTGTATTTGCAAGATTCGTATATTCGCCACAGAATGGACGCATTGAACAAGAAAACAATGCAGGATAAATATCTTTAAATTACGTTTCAAAATACAGACTCCAACTTAAATGATGCAATGTTCTTAGGCACGCAGTTTGTGATCGAAACAATATGCGCGCCTAAGTAGGCGCGCAGCTTGACATGGGCACCGTGTTACTTACTTACCAAGGTTTACATTACATTACTTTAAAGGGAAATGAACTTGAAACTCCCCACTGTAGTCTCAAACCAAAACATTATTAAAAAATTCATTGGGAAGTGTTACGACCTATTGACTAAATGTTACACTAAACACAATGCAATTTGGTTGTTCTGTTATCTAAAGTATAACACAATGTACATGTGTTTTTAGGATTACTGCAATGCCCTGACAACGCTGAGTCGAGTTGCACCAAAACTTGTCCTTCCCGAAATCATTAAACAAATAACTGAAAGCCTAAGCAACAGTCGCCTAGCAACCGTTACTCGGGAGGAATATGCCATCATGATGTACCCAGAAGGAAAACTGTATAATACTTCTGTCATAGAAGGGTAGGTCACTATGTTTGGAACTGTTCAAGTCTATTTTTTATGTCAACATCACAAATGGTCACATATTGTTATAGTCTCCAACAAATTTGTGGACACCAGTTGGTGTTTTGCATTGCAGCCACGACAGCGCCTGTGATAAATGGCAAATTGGTGACTTTTGCATGTTTAAATGCCTTGTTATATTTTTGTATTTTATTTATTCTTTAGATAAGAATGTTGACAGCCGAAAATAGTTTTATGTATCATTGGTTGTGTAGACATTCATGAAATTATTCAAAATAAGATATGACATATGATCTACAATTGTTTGGAATACATTCATCGTATTTTACAGAGGGAAAAACGAAGGTGGGAATGCCAATGTCAGAAAAGAAAGCAAGCTTTACTCGTACAAAGAACAAATGGCTGAGAAGGAACTTAGAAAGGTAATATCGATTTTTGTTATACTGGGTGACTCAAAAAATGCAACCGTTTTTGAGAGTTGTTCTAAAACTAGTCTCTTTTTTGACTTTTTTTTCAAGTTGACTTTTTGTGTCACCCTTTATCAAAAAATACTGTAAGGTATTTTTGTAAGGCTGTGAAGTTATCATGAATATGTACATGTACTATATTTTATACTGAATTAAACTTTTGACATATTGAAAATTCCTTCTATACTACTCCCTTTGATTTATAACGTTTTGTCAATTCCCTCAAGTGCCTTCATTTATAACATTTTGACGAATCACTCGAGTCCCTTTAATTAACGATTTATAACATTTTGACGATTCACTCTCATTCCTTTAATTAACGATTTATAACATTTTGTCGATTCACTCGAGTCCCTTTAATTAACAATTTATAACATTTTGACGATTCACCCTCGTTCCTTTAATTAACGATTTATAACATTTTGACGATTCACTTTCGTTCCTTTTATTAACGATTTATAACATTTTGTCGATTCACTCTCGTTCCTTTAATTAACGATTTATAACATTTTGACGATTCACTCTCGTTCCTTTAATTTCAGATTGAAGAAGAGAAGAAGAGAAAGCGTGGTGAGAAGACAGAACCCAAGCTGAACAAGAAGCAGCAAGAACTCATGGCAGCTGAGTTGAAGAAAGAGTCTGAGATTAGGAAAGTTAATCTGCAGGTATGGTACACTCCCTAAAAGGTTTAGTAATATGAAGCTGTTGTACACTCCCCAACAAAAGTTTGGTATCTGATATCTTATTATCTTATTGATTTCTTATTAAAGCTTGTTTATGATCATTTGACAATTTTGATAAATTCATCTATAATTACCAACCTAGTAGTAGAGGAACTAGGAATTCAGATCCAAACATTAAAGCTTCAACAATTTGTATACCAGATTTCAAGTTTATGGGTGGGGCACACATACAAATATATTGTAAAGAAGACGTTTGTAGACTTAAATCATCAGTAGGTAAATATTTCATTGAAAGATGCCAAGGTGTCCTGGGGGTTTCATCTCAAGAGAAGGTTTCCCGAATTCAAAGTTAATGCATTTATTTTCCCTCCTCAGCTTGATGAAGACCTGTGTAAGACATGTGCAATGTTAGCTTCTGTGGTGAATGGAGACAGCTTAGAGCTTCGGTTGTACCTGCCGGAACTACTTACAAAGATCCTTCCACTGATGAAATCTGCCCTTGCTGCACCTAGGTTGTCAAAGACATTCTTGCAGCTTCAGGAATCAGCCTTTTACATGCAATCTCAGACACTTGGTAAGTTGTGGCATACTCTTTAGGCCTACTTTGTACTATGGAGATGTTAACCCCTTTGCTGCCAGAGCACTTTTCAAATGGAAATCTGTATGTGAAACACGATGGCTATGTGCCATGCGAAATGAAGCCCACATGCTTTCGAAGCAGTTCGAAGATTTCTGAAAGTGTACTTTCGCATACAAACACCACAAACGATGTACAACATACACATACTAATGGGAATGAATTTTACTCAAGTCCATTCACCAGCACACAAGTTCATGGCAGGATTTTCTTTCATATGTGAGGAGGCCTTTAAGTGTAAAATGAACCTCTGTAAGTGGATGACCTCATTTAGTGGAACAAATTCAAAAGTCCAGTTACCCCTAACCTTAATGTAAAGTGAACCTTGTATATATAATTGAAAAGATATTTGAATTGAATTAAACTTTTTTTATATATTTATATTTCCAGGTGATCTTGTAACGCATGCTTCGCTCCGTATATTTGACCCCACCTGTGACCTTGAATCAGGCTGGGCTGATGAACCAATCAAATTGCAAGCAATCCGAGCTGTCAATCATCTCTATCAGAACTGTATCCACCTATCAGAAGATGAGATGGAAGAAGACAAAATTACCCAACTTCCCGCTCCAACATTCGCCTTTTGTTTCGCTCTCTTGCGCGCCATTTTGAAAGATGGAGGGAGCTTGGTTGGCGGAAGCGAGGTCACAATACAGAGGGTGTTGTCAATTATGAAAGTTCACGCTCAGTTGCGGGATGATGGCGATGGGGAATTAAATGAGGTGCGACTTCATAGCTTCATAGGTTGATGAATCATATATCTGAGCTGTGTTGGACAAAGGGGTCAAATGACATCTGATAGTAATTCGAGCTAGTTGATAAAATTCTTTAAATGTAGAAAATTTGAAACTACAATCCTGTTGTTTCGTGAAATTTTAGAGTTGACCATTACAATAAAAAGTGCACACTGATCTGTCCAACATTGAAACAACCAGCACATTTGATAATACTCTTGAATATGTAACCTAAGTCATGTATTTTTTCAACTATAGGGGTTGGGTGTCACAGGGCTTGAAGTAAGACTAGACTGACATGTATTTTATTCTGTTTGTCTAGATGGGTCCAGAGTTGCTGCCTAGACCAGCCATGCTGGAGGTCCTTGTGGATGTCATAGCAACTGGCAACAACAAACTTCAGACATCTGCTACAGAATGTCTCCTCGAGGTGAATATTAATGTACATGAGGCGTGTCATGTCTCAGCATTTTGAGTGTAATATCTACAGAAGTTTTCACTATGTTATGATTCAAAAGCTGAGGGCAGGTGTCTCACCGTAAGCATGGTAACATCGTAATAAACAACTGACGTGATTGGTTCTAGTCCCATGCTCAGGTCGCGTGATTGTAAAATTTAGACAATTTCATTGGTTGAATTGCGCGTATTAACTAATAAACAACACGTGCGGTAAACTTTTATCAACACAACTTTTACTCAGAATTCCTTCCGCGGGGATTTGCTCTTATATTTCATTGATTTTGGAATATTTTGACAAAATAATTATTGGTGAACATAAAAGAACATATATTTTATAAGTTGTGTGAAAAACAAGTACATCTGTGACAAAAAGGGGGACTATCTTCCCCAAATTTTGGGGATTCCATAATCTGCCCGCCGCAGTGTCTATACCGAGACACTGCATAGGAGTTCGGTTTGTGGTGTGTCAAGATTTCTAAACCAAAAACATAGACCGTGAGAATTGAAAGTGACCAACAAACCATGAAGTCTAGCCAAGAAATCTAGATATATGAAGATTTATGAAACTGCACATTTATCTTGTATTCATGCATGCAAATTTTTCAAGAGCCCTGGGTGGACAAAATATTTTGATACAGAATATATATGAGGAATCAGTAACAATTCAGATTATTTTGTCAGAGTTGATGTTATGTCTCTTGACATTTTGTCTTGTATCTTCCAAACTTTATCAAAAACATCTGGACTAATAAGACTATTTCTGAGCAAGAAAAAAATTATTCTGTTAATAAACCAGAGTTGAATGTTTCTTGACAAAATAATAATTCATTTTGTCTAATATAGGTGGCATCATGTGCAAGTGGTAACGAAGGTTGCTCAGCAGCAGAGGAAAAGGAAATCTCGATTTTATTATCTGCTCTATTATCGCCCGTGATGGCAGTTCGAGAAGCAGCGTTACAAGGACTTCATTTCCTCTCAATGGTCCTTCCCACTCTTGATATTAACTTTGAGCAAGGTCTACAAGTTACTCAACGTATCCTAGTCGCTAAATATGACTGCGAAGAGCTAAATAGGAACCTAGCTGAAAAGTAAGGATTGTTTTCTCTCATGAGTTCTAATCAAAATTTTTGGTTTTACTATTTTGACTTTGAAATCGATAGCTTGTCAAAATACTGTGAAACGTATAGTAATGGCTTTCCCAATTCCCAATTTTCAAATTATTGACATCAACTTGGACACACTGCAATGTTTTACAATGGAAAAAATCTCAAAAATGGATTTCTTTAGCTAAGAATTTTGGTCTGATATTTTTTACATATTCTTAATTTGAAAAATCTTCATGTTAATTATTTTAGAGTCTGGACAGACACTGGTCTGGAACTCTCCCCTGAGCTATGTAGTCTTCTCATAGAAGATGTCAGCCACAATGAGAAGGTAGTGAGGGAGGCAGCGGCCCAAGCAATGGCCCAAGTGGCCAAGGAATACTCAGAGCAGATTCAAACCATCCTCCAACTCCTCATGGTGAAATATCAGGACAAGTTATATGTAAGTATTTCTTATTGAGCCCTGTATGGAAAAAAGTGTACAGTAAAACCTGCGTAATAAATGGAACTCCATCCATACTATGGCAAAAACTGATTGTTAACATTTAAGCCTGTATTTGAGTCATATTTTGGATTTTTTGCCCTTATGACTGGTTGCGTTTTATTGCATGCAATCTGTACTTTGTTGTGTAATACTCACATTCTACAAAACTTTACAAACTCTTCGAACTTTAAAGTTTTTAGGAAACTCCAAGCTTAGGTCTGTATGGGCAAACTATCCTCACTCAGATTACCAGAGAAAGCTCCCCTATTTTATCTCATCTTGAATGAGGAAATTCTCTTAACTAAAATCTGTATTTTTATATTGCAGATGCCTCCTCCAGTATTAGACAGTGTTGGGCGTGTAATCTGTGAACAACCTCCAGATGAGTGGCCAGCTAGATGTGGTGTAGCTCAAGCTATGAGGAAATTATCAGCTCTCCTTAGTGATGAAAACATTGAGACTGTACGTTAGTTTTTGCTCAGCATTAATTCAAGTGAACATGAATTAAACACAAATCTTGGTTTATAAGTAAATATTTCGGAAAACTGTTTTTCGAATGAAAAATCTTAAAGTAAAGACAATCATTGTAAAAAACCCAAACATCCCTCACATAAAAATGAAACTTTATCTTTTACCCCCTTCCCCTACTGTCGATCAAAATCCATTTCAAAATGGGACAAGGCCATATGACTACTAATTCAAACTGAAGACCATTACGTTCCATGCTGAAGAATAAATTGAAGATACTGACCAATGTTCTAACAACAAAAATAATTGAAAACAATGTTGTTTTGTGTTTTGATGAAGTTTAATATTGAAAAATAATTTTGACCTTTTGATGTCAGGTGATGTCAAGGTTGTTTGAATTAATATTGAAGAATAATTTTGAACTTTTGATGTTAGGTGATGTCTTTCATGGTGCCTGAAGCCTTAGGTGACAGGGATGAAAATGTAAGACAAGCCATGAGAGAGGCTGCAGTACAGATAGTCAATGACCATGGCAAGGTAAGAATGTATTGCATAATTTGTAGTCTTAGAGCTAAAACTTTCTCTTCCAAGAGTGCCACTATCCTGCACCACTGTTGAAAAGTGATCCTTTAAATCATGGGCATTCAATCTATTGAAAGCCCATGTTTAAATGAATGATGATAAAAAAATGTCATTATCCATTTTGCTTACTCAAAAGTTTATAAATAATTTTTCTATCAAATGTGCCAATGATAAAATATTCTTATTTAAAATAGATTATATTATGCTGTAAATTTTCATAAATTATAGGAAGAAGTGACAATTCTGCTCCCAGTGTTTGAAGAGTTCCTCGAAAAAGCCCCCGATTCTGCAAAATATGATGCAGTTAGACAGAGTGTTGTCGTCCTACTGGGATCTCTCGCCAAACATTTAGATAAGACAGATCCTAAGGTAAATAATTTATAAACCCTATTTAAAAACTATTAACCTGTTATTGGTATATTATTGTATGGTGCATCTGACCAAGAACATAGTCAGTTTTCTTAAGAATTTCAAAAATTTTAAGTGGGGTTATTATTGAAAACTTTGTCCCAAAATCTCTTTAAAAGTGCTCAGAACGATTTTTTGACCAATGGGGGTTTGCTTGCAACCCCTAAACCCCTACAGGCCTGTCTCTCTGTTTGATTTTAACATCCCCCTATATGACATTCCATGTTATATCAAAGAAATGATGTAATGATGTAAAAGAGAAGGTTGGTAAGACTGTATCATCGGTTTTCCAAATTGATATCATAAATAAATAATACATATATATAAAGGACATCATGTTCTTAAGAAGACATTATTTAATTTACAAAGTAAGTATCACATTCTTTATCGATTCAAATTAAACATTTTAATTGGTTTTATCTATTGACCATGCACATAAATATTTATGTTTGTAGTTTAGTCATTTTGAATTTTGTCTGTAGGTGAAACCAATTGTTGCCAAGCTGATAGAGGCATTATCTACCCCCTCCCAACAGGTATGTCTCCTTAGCTCTTCAATTAGTGCTAGCACAGAACTGAATTATTGCTACAATTGTCCGATTCTACTGTCGGATCTGGAATTTGATTCATCATTTTCCAAAAAGAACATTCGCCTGCTCGCTATAGCAAGCAATAATGAATGAATTCAATGAATATACATGAAGACATAAATGTTCTTGAGCTGAATTATTTTATATACAATAACAATTTAAATATGGTTATATTGCAAAAAGAAATGCTCAGGCATCCAAGAGTTAACTACCTTGTACAAAGTTCGCCCTAATCATTTATCTAGATGCATAGTAGATTTTAAAATAAAAAAGAAACTAATAAACATTTTATTAAAAAGGTACAAGAAGCAGTAGCTAACTGTCTGCCCCCATTAGTGCCTGCCATTAAAGCAGATGCCCCAGAACTGGTTAGCAAATTGCTACAGCTTCTACTGGAGTCAGACAACTATGGAGAGCGTAAGGGGGCAGCTTATGGACTTGCAGGTCTTGTGAAAGGACTGGGTATCTTAGCCCTGAAACAGCTTAACATAATGGATACATTAACTGAAGCGATACAAAATAAGAAATCTCCGAGATACAGAGAAGGTACACTTTTCATTATTTTTTCCCCAAATTTTTTTTGGGGGATGGTTGCCTTTTGGGACTTGGACGTGTAAGAGGATGGCCCATCCTCCAAAATAATTCAGTTTTAAAGTACATGTACAACACCTTTGATAAGTTGGAGTCAATAGAAAAATATTAAGAGTTCTTTTTCTAATGTTCACACTACTATACCTACCTAACACTTAGAATTGCATAAGCAGCTGCCATATCAGTCTGCTTGGATTGTTCAGTGTATTTATAAAAGTTTCTTAAAAACATTGAACAGTCATTCAATGAGCATAAATGAGGCAAGATATGTGTAAACGGGTCCATGATGGGTCCATCAATGGGTAAATGGGTCCATGAAATTGGGCATGTAAGAGAGCCAAATGGCTCTGTACCTCAAGATCCAGCATGTAATCGGGAGGTTATGATTTCGTTTCCCGCAGAGTGGAATGACTTTTTCACATCTGGCTTAAAGGAATAGGATTTGATCCTCTGTTTCAGATACAACAACATGATGAGACAACAGATTTTTTCAACAGAAATGTTACACATTATTTACATTATATTTGTTTTTATCCTTTCCAGGTGCTCTCTTTGCATTTGAAATGCTGTGTACAATGTTGGGCAGACTTTTTGAGCCATATGTAGTCCACATTCTACCTCATCTACTACTTTGCTTCGGGGATGGCAACCAGTACGTACGTCAAGCTGCCGATGACTGCGCCAAGGCCGTCATGAGTAAACTTAGCGCCCATGGTGTGAAACTAGTTCTGCCATCTTTATTGACAGCTATCGAAGAAGATTCCTGGAGAACAAAAACTGGTAATATAAGAAAATTTGAAAAACAAAATTGTATTTTTTTCTTTTTTTTCATTTTTTTTATTTCTGATTTTATAGATTTATCAATACAGACAGTGCATTTGATACAAAAAACTAAGCAATCGTGGACTGTTGAATGAAACAAGTAAAATTTAATTGCCCAAATTGCTTACAAAATCTGGATGGTCCCAAATGGTTATGTAACCAGGTGATGACATTTTGCAATGGTAACATCTTGTTTCATTGGTTTGACTTGTTAAATATACTTGAAGGGTTCTATTGTGTCATTAATCTCAGCCAGTTCAAAAGACGGCATCAATGGATGAACTGTAAAATATCTTGGTGAGAGGCATCTTCGAGCGTCATCTGTGAATCGTGTTGCATTTTTGACAGCATCTGGGACTTCCGATTGAATAATCTTTATTAAATCTACATCGGAAGGACCACCAAATTTGGGATAATTTGTATGCATGGGGTTGATCACTGTCATGGGAGTATATCGTACAAGCTGGCGATGAAAATAATAGTATGATTTTAAATGGAGATAATGCCCAGCGATCCACCAATTCTTGGTGTCGAATTGTGTAATCAGTGGCATTATATACTTTATTGCCTGACAATGAAACGCAGCAAATATTGGATCAAATTTATTCATTGGAATTCTCTCCGGAAGGTTCCATAGTTTATTTGGGTTGTCGTGTCCGGGACAACATAATAAAATGTCACGGATAAAAACTGATGCATTATCTGCATGGAAAGGTGCCGCCACTGCAGGTTGTGTTTCTAATAAAAACAATTCAAATTGCCTTAATATGGGCATATTCAATGTTCGTATTTTCTCAAGGACATTAATGTCTAGCATTCTGCTCATTGTTGTTTGTAGCACACAGTCTTCATCCATAAAAATGTAATACTTATACTGTTCAAAATGTTTTTGTGTGTACGACCATGCAGCATTTCTTCCGGATGTCCAAGTTGTGTTTGGGGCATAACTATATACAAAATGGCGTAATTCTCGCTTTGCGTTATTACAAGGCGATCCATAGCTCATCACTAGTACATCTAAAGTCTCAGGATTTCCGAGCATATCCGCAACAGTCAAATGTTCGGCTACACATTGTTTGACATTTATTATATACAAAAATGGTTTCGTAAAATTCCTAGTCCTTTGTGCAGGCGCAATTTCCGGTTTGGTTTTCGTTTTTGTTATGTTTGGCTGTAATTGTACTATTAAGAATCGTTGTGACATTGACATATGTGTCACCATCATCATAATCCACAGCAATAAAATTAGACTGAGCACTATCTTCAAATATTGTTGCATATTCGTTGTCTGAGTTTTTTCCGAGTAATTAGCCAACATGGGTCATGTAGAGTTGAGTACTTTTGCAACATCTATAAACTAGTATTCATTCATATTTGTACTTCTAATGTAAGCTGAGTTGTCCTAGACATCAATATTTTTATAAATGACATTGTATTGCTATTGGCAAGTAATAGAGCAAAGTGTGTACAACTATTAAAACTGACAAACACATCAATTCATACACTGTCTTATTCATATTCTATTAAACTACTTGGTGCTATGGCATTCTGTGCCCCCAAGCAACTGTCAATGAGTCTTCCTATTATATTGCAATAGCAACCACTTTCATATTTGTAATGCATTAAACTACTTGGTGCTATGACATTCTATGCCCCAAAGCAACTGTCAGTGAGTCTGCCCAGTATATTACCAAAGCAACCACTGTCACATTTGTAATGCATTAAACTACTTGGTGCTATGACATTCTATGCCCCAAAGCAACTGTCAGTGAGTCTGCCCAGTATATTACCAAAGCAACCACTGTCACATTTGTATTGCATTAAACTACTTGGTGCTATGACATTCTATGCCCCAAAGCAACTGTCAGTGAGTCTGCCCAGTATATTACCATAGCAACCACTGTCATATTTGTAATGCATTAAACTACTTGGTGCTATGACATTCTATGCCCCAAAGCAACTGTCAGTGAGTCTGCCCAGTATATTACCAAAGCAACCACTGTCACATTTGTATTGCATTAAACTACTTGGTGCTATGACATTCTATGCCCCAAAGCAACTGTCAGTGAGTCTGCCCAGTATATTACCAAAGCAACCACTGTCACATTTGTATTGCATTAAACTACTTGGTGCTATGACATTCTATGCCCCAAAGCAACTGTCAGTGAGTCTGCCCAGTATATTACCAAAGCAACCACTGTCACATTTGTATTGCATTAAACTACTTGGTGCTATGACATTCTATGCCCCAAAGCAACTGTCAGTGAGTCTGCCCAGTATATTACCAAAGCAACCACTGTCACATTTGTAATGCATTAAACTACTTGGTGCTATGACATTCTATGCCCCAAAGCAACTGTCAGTGAGTCTGCCCAGTATATTACCAAAGCAACCACTGTCACATTTGTATTGCATTAAACTACTTGGTGCTATGACATTCTATGCCCCAAAGCAACTGTCAGTGAGTCTGCCCAGTATATTACCAAAGCAACCACTGTCACATTTGTAATGCATTAAACTACTTGGTGCTATGACATTCTATGCCCCAAAGCAACTGTCAGTGAGTCTGCCCAGTATATTACCAAAGCAACCACTGTCACATTTGTATTGCATTAAACTACTTGGTGCTATGACATTCTATGCCCCAAAGCAACTGTCAGTGAGTCTGCCCAGTATATTACCATAGCAACCACTGTCATATTTGTAATGCATTAAACTACTTGGTGCTATGACATTCTATGCCCCCAAGCAACTGTCAGTGAGTCTGCCCAGTATATTACCATAGCAACCGCTGTCACAATTGTATTAGGTTATGTTGAACTACTTGGTACTTTGGCATTCTGTGCCCCCATGCAACTGCCAGGGAGTCTGCCCAGTATATTACCATAGCAACTACTGTCACAATTTTATCAGGTTCTATTGAACCACTTGTTGCTATGGCACTCTGTGCCCTCAAGCAACTGTCAACAAATCTGCCTAGGATATTACCATAGCAACCACTGTAACAATTGTTTCAGGTTCTGTTGAACTACTTGGTGCTATGGCATTCTGTGCCCCCAAACAGCTGTCAGCATGTTTGCCAAGTATATCACCATAGCAACCACTGTCACTATTGTTTCAGGTTCTGTTGAACTACTTGGTGCTATGGCATTCTGTGTCCCCAAACAGCTGTCAGCATGTTTGCCAAGTATATCACCATAGCAACCACTGTCACTATTGTTTCAGGTTCTGTTGAACTACTTGGTGCTATGGCATTCTGTGCCCCCAAACAGCTGTCCGCATGTTTGCCAAGTATAGTGCCCAAGCTGACTGAGGTCCTGACTGACTCTCACATGAAGGTACAGAAAGCAGGAGAACAAGCCCTCAAACAGATTGGCTCTGTGATCAGAAACCCCGAGATTCAATGTAAGTATGACATTTTATTGTTTCATTAACTTTTTTAACTGCTTGGATTATTTCACTACAATAGGTTGAGATATTACGTATGCCTTAGTCACATTTGATCTATGGCAACCATATGGTGGCTGTAGCTTCCAAAAATTGAGAGAAATATGCAGTATAAAATATAGAGATAAGCAGTATGATGAAGATTTTCTCTATCGATTTTGTGATTAACGGCAGCCGCATGCCCAACGTAGAGCTTTACTATTGCTCATCTTCTTTTGACTTATAACTGAGAACCAATGGACCATTTCTCAGAAAATCAGATTTGGAATATGGCTTACCTTTCAGCTATCATTTATGTTCTATTATATGGCTCACCCTGTATATATGTGAGTATGTACAGTGTATGGCTTACCCAGTACATGTATGTTTTTTTCTGTTTCAGCTATTGTACATGTTCTTCTTGATGCTCTACAAAATCCAACCAAGCGTACTACAACTTGCCTCGCAACTCTTTTAGAAACTAAATTTGTGCATTTTATTGATGCGGCTTCCCTTGCTTTGATCATGCCTGTGGTCCAGAGAGCATTCCAAGATCGATCCACGGAGACTAGAAAAATGGCTGCCCAGATTATCGGCAATATGTATTCACTTACAGATCAAAAGGTATCTCATTTTTATGTCCCCACCACATAGTGTGGGGCCATATTGTCGGCCTAGGCGCGTCTGTCTGTCCATCTGTCTGTCTGTCCGTACGTCGGCAGTTTTCTCCAAAACCGCTACAGATATCACCTTCAAATTTTCAGGGATAACTTATGAGTGCATACAGATGTGGATGAAAAAGAATCATCTCGATACCTACTTCCTGTCGGCCATTTTGAAGTCAAATGCTAAAATCCTTGTCTGCAAGCTTTAAGAAAAACGGCTTCACAGTTGCTTTTAAAACTTTAACATCTTGTTCAGCTCACTTCATTCTAGATCTGATTAGGTTTTGGACCTGTTAGCTCAGTCATGTCAGCCATTTTGAATGTTTTAAGAAAAGTTAGCGCACAATAATACTTTGTATCATATTGAATGGTGTTTTTCAGTTTTCATACCTTAACTATTAAGTAGCTTTATAAATAATTTCAGGTGTACTTTGTTGTAAAAGCCTATGTTATTGTTAACAGTAGTTATATGTGATAATTTTGTAAAAAGAAATCAGCAAAAACTCATAATCACTTTTTTATTGTCGGCCATTTTGGATTTTTCCGTCCTAAAATCTTGTCTGTAAAGTCTTGTCTACGCGTTTTCAGGTGAACTGTTTGGTAGATCAATTTCAAATTTTCAGGGATGATTCTTAGTATGAAAATCTAGATCTGATTAGTTTTTGGGCATTCTGGGTAAAGGTCAAGGCAGCCATTTTGGATTTTCCGTCCCAAAATCTTGTCTGTAAAGTCTTGTCTATGCATTTCCAGGTGAACTGTTTGGTAGATCAATTTCAAATTTTCAGGGATAATTCTTAGTATGAAAATCTAGATCTGATTAGTTTTTATGCATTCTGGATAAATGTCAAGGCAGCCATTTTGGATTTTCCGTCTTAAAATCTTGCCCGTAAAGTCTTGTCTACGCGTTTTTAGGTGAACCGTTTGGTAGATCAATTTGAAATTTTCAGGGATGATTCTCAGTATGAAAATCTAGATCTGATTAGTTTTTTGGCATTCTGGATAAATGTCAAGGCAGCCATTTTGGATTTTCCGGGATGATTCTTAGTATGAAAATCTAGATCTGATTAGTTTTTGGCATTTTGGGTAAATGTCAAGGTAGACATTTTGGATTTTCCGTTCTAAAATCTTGTCTGTAAAGTCTTGTCTACGCATTTCCAGGTGAACTGTTTGGTAGATCAATTTCAAATTTTCAGGGATGATTCTTAGTATGAAAATCTAGAACAGATAAGTTTTTTTGGCATTCTGGATAAATGTCAAGGCAGCCATTTTGGATTTTCTGTCCTCAAATCTTGTCTGTAAAGTCTTGTTTACATGTTTTCTGGTTAACTTTGTGACGGATCAATACAGTAAAGTAAATTACAGTAAATTATATGCATTGAATACATAGAAGCTTTCTATGTACATAACTTTATATTAATTTATTCATTTACAGGACTTGCAGCCATATCTACCCTCAGTGATCCCAGGTCTGAAGGCGTCACTTCTTGATCCTGTGCCTGAAGTCAGAACAGTTTCCTCTCGGGCTCTTGGTGCTATGGTCAAAGGTAAGCATCTTACATCTCTATCAAAGGAAGAACGATGCCCCTGAGTAGATTCCCATATTGACTCACAACTCAAAACAACATATTTTGAAAGTGTTTTAAAAGGGTTAAATGATGATTATGATTTTTGTGAAATATTGATTTTGGCTCTGAAACTGAATTTAAATCAACATTTTTACCTCTTTCATAGGGGGAGGGAGATGCGTAAATAATAAATAATTAGTTTCACTTTCTCAAAATTGTTGACATTCGAATTTCCCCCAATTGATATGCAAATGTGTTACTCTTATGTGTCTTTAGTCAGATCGTCTGACGAAACAACCTTTTTTGGGGTTGTCGAGTTGGCCGAGAGGGCTTGAGCGCCGGCATGTTTGAGCTAGGCAATTGGGCACCATAACCATGAGGTTGCGAGTTTGAGACACGTGTGCTCCTTGTGTTTATTCATTTATAATAAAGTAATATAGAGGTGTGATTTCTATTTTAGGTATGGGAGAAACTAGTTTTGAAGAGCTCCTTCCATGGCTCATGCTGACACTCACATCAGAACAAAGTTCAGTGGACCGTTCTGGTGCAGCTCAAGGTAAGCAACAGTCTTGTCCTGATCAGATATGTAATGTCAGCAATAGCCTTGTCCTGATCAGATGTGTAATGTAAGCAACAGTCTTGTCCTGATCAGATGTGTTATGTAAGCAACTCTTTCTAGTATCAGGCATAATTTCTTAAATTACACATCTAAATAAAATCTTGTTCTTAAGCTATGTGATTTAAGTAATAATCTTATCCTGATCAAATGTATAATGTAAGCAATATTCTTGTCCTGATTGAGGGTACTTTTGTATAATGTTAAGCAATAGTCACATCCTGATGAAGGGTAGCATTAATTGGTCAACAATTGCAATGTTCCTTGTAGGTCTCTCTGAAGTGGTAGGTGGTCTTGGGCTTGAGAAGTTGGACAAACTCATGCCTGATATTGTACAGACTGCTGAACGGTTGAACATAGCTCCTCATGTGCGAGATGGCTATATCATGATGTACATATACCTACCCAATGTCTTCAAGGATGCGTTTATACCATACATTGGACAGATCATCCCATCAATTTTAATTGTAAGTAAATTGTATTTTTGCTTATACCGTTAAAGTTGTGTTCTTTAGCTGTGTTATTTAAGGAATTATCTTGTCCTGATCAAATGTATAATGCAAGCAATGGTAAATTATGTACAGTACAGTGTATGTAAATTATGCTTAATTCTGACCAGTCTGTCGTCCAAAATAATCGCAAGATTGGCTATATTGTGATCAGTTTTTTATGATTATTAATTATATTGTATTAAAGAGGCTGATGAGTTGAATTTGTGCATTTTGTGCATCAGATTTTAAATAGTTTGTACGCAGACAAAGCCATACTGCAATTTACATTACATAGCATATTGCAATTTACGTTCCTATTTTTCATTGGATCTTGCATTTTATTAAGGAGGCATTACCTGACAAATGCGAATTTGTGCAATGTTCATGACATCAGAGACAAAGCCATGATGGCTCTACGTTCAGAACTGGAGAAAGAACTGAATTGATATTCCTATTTATTCATTGAATCTTGTGTTATTATATTAACAGGCATTAGCTGATGAATTCGAATTTGTGCTATGTTTCTGACATTGGTTCATTTTTAGTTTGTTCACAGACATAGCCATGATGGCTCTACTTTCAGAACTGGAAAAAGGACTCTAATTAGTATTCCTATTTGTTTGTTGAATCTTCCATTATGTTAATATTAAACAGGCATTAGCTGATGAGTGTGAATTTGTGCGAGACACAGCTCTACGTGCTGGACAGAGGATCGTGAACATGTACGCAGACACAGCCATAGTGACTCTACTTCCAGAATTGGAGAAAGGTCTGTTTGATGATAACTGGAGGATCAGGTCAAGCTCAGTACAATTACTGGGAGATCTACTCTACAAAATATCAGGTATAGTCTTTTAACTCTGACATTGTTAATTTCTTTTGATAAACAACTCCAAATGGAAATTAACTTAAGGAAAATTGCAGTATCTGCATTTGGGTAGCAAGTAAACTTCACCTGTTTAACTTAAAATTTATAGACGCAGTTTGCAGACTAGTGCCAAGATTTGATTATGTTTTTGGCATGCTTGATAATTAACAAGCCAGCCATTTTGATTTTTCTCTTTGCACTTGTATACATATTTCTGTTTCCATGGTTACAGGTGTGTCTGGAAAGATGACCACAACCAGTGCTCATGAGGATGACAACTTTGGTACAGAGGGATCACAACAGGTAATGTCCTACATATTCAAGATGTGAGCAACAGTCTTGTCCTAATCAGATGTATGATTTAAGCAATAGTCTTGTCCTGATACAATATTGAAAGTAAGCAATAGTCTTGTCCTGATTAGATATGTATAAATGTGTCATGTAAGCAATAGTCTTGTCCTAATCAGATGTATAATTTAAGTAATAGTCTTGTCCCGATAAAATATTGAGTGTAAGCAATAGTCTTATCCTGATCAGATGTTTTATTTGGTTATAATTACAATATTCTTGCATGATTTCAGACTATCGTCAGAGTGCTTGGTCTGGAGTGTCGTAATCGTGTCCTTGCCGGACTCTACATGGGAAGATCTGATACTGCCCTATTGGTCAGGCAAAGTGCCCTTCACGTATGGAAGGTGATCGTCAGTAACACACCTAAGACGCTTCGTGAGATTCTGTCGACACTGTTCCAACTTCTCCTTGGATGCCTGGCTAGTACCAGCTATGATAAGAGACAGGTGAGCTTTCCATTGATATATGACATTTTTCCAACGATATATGACTTACTTTAGATTTGGGGTGTCCAAACACTAAATAATTGTTAAAACAAACAAAATATTTGAATTGTGAAATTTGTCTTGTTTTCACAGTGAGTAATGCATTTAATTCCCAATCATAATATAGGCCGCAATACCCCAAACTTGCACTAATTACCCGGGGTTCTACTGTATTACAGGTAGCTGCAAGAACACTTGGAGATATCGTACGTAAGCTAGGAGAACGTGTATTGCCCGAAATCATCCCTATCCTAGAAAGAGGCTTGGAGTCGGAAGAGAGTGACCAACGACAGGGAGTCTGCATTGGACTGACCGAGATCATGACATCTACCAGCAGAGAGCATGTACGTTAAAAACTTCATCGTTTCTAATGGATGAGTTTCCCTATAGCTTTGAAATCCCATTAATTCTCGTTTTTTCGTGAGATTTGCATATCAAAGCTCTTATGAATTCCTTTTCCTTATTTTAATTGCATGCTTTAATTCAGTTTTTATCTTTAGTAGATGAACTAAGTGCATGGTTTCGCACCGTTTTGTATGCAGTTGTGTTTCACATATATATTTATATAGTTCAAGATAATGCTTTACCTGAATTGCCTAAATATAAAGAGAGAAAATAAATATTCAGGGCAAATTCTGTTGTGAAGAAAAAGCTCTTGAATCAATATTGTATCCTCTTCTGCAAAGTAAAAGTATCTGAAATGTCCTGTTCTGTTGTAGGTGCTTGCATTTGCTGATAGCCTTGTCCCAACCGTGCGTAAAGCCCTGTGTGACCCCTTGGCAGAGGTCAGAGAGGCCGCTGCTGACACATTTGATCATCTCCATGGCAACATTGGTGTCAGAGCTCTGGATGAAATCCTACCCGATCTCCTGGAAAAACTGGTGAGGAAATCATTGCTTTTCGCATTGACATCATTTTATAGGGGTTTGATTAGTAGCAGGCAGTTGGGATTTTTTGGTAATTTCAAAATTTTAATAATTTTGCTGTTGAATTCATTCAGTTTACTTGTCAAAATTTTAATGACACTTGATTCTTCCATCTATATGACCATCCATCTCTGTTTGTCCATTCGGCAATCTTTCCATCCATCAACAATTTTAAGACAAATTAAAATTGCTATTTTCCTGAACTAATGCTCACATTCATTTTATGGGTTCTTCATATCCATTTTATGGGTTCTTCATATCCATTTTATGGGTTCTTCATATCCATTTTATGGGTTATTCATATCCATTTTATGGGTCTTAGTACTTGTAAGTTACACCATTTGTCCCACCTCTTACTTATGCCTCATAAATGCCTCAATTTGGGGAAATTTTTTTCTCTATGTGAGCCCACAGAAGGGTTTCAATTTTGAAATCGCTATACCTTTGTTGATAAAATCTGCATATGATGTCCCAAAGTTTCTGAATCAATCATGTTTGTTGATATTATTTAGGGTGAAGATGAAGAAGGTGAACATGCCCTCGATGGACTCAAGCAAGTCATGGCTGTCAAAAGTCGTGTCGTCTTACCATATATGGTACCACAGCTTACGAGGGAACCTGTTAACACCAGAGCTTTGTCATACCTGTCTGCCGTTGCTGGGGAGGAGCTCAACCGCCATCTTGGCAAGATTCTTCCGGCACTCATGAAGTCTTTGAGTTCAAAGTTTGGAACTCCAGATGAGCAAGAGGTGAAAATGAGTTTTATTTAGATAGTAAACAGTTTGCCTTTTGGACACCCTGTAGTGTTTAAATATCATAGTTAGCTTGAAGCTTTTTCAAAAAATTTACGATGTTTTAGACTTACATATTATTACTATTCTGTTCTTGTTGTGGTTATTTTTCTGAAATCAAAAAAATATTGTCTCATACTTAAAACGAAACAAACAGTTTATTGAACACTCTAAACATCAGAAACTTTTCTTTCAGGAGCTTCAGTATTGTGAGAATGTAGTTTTGTCTGTGTCGAGTGATGCGGGTCTCCGATACGTCATGGATGAACTCCTAGCCGCAACCAATACCTCAAACATGCTCATGTGCGCCTCCGCTGTCACCATCCTATACAGCTACACTAGCAAAACGAAAGCAGATTACTCCGATTATATCCCGCAGTTGCTGCGATGTTTGCTCCATCTATATACCAAGTCTGACGAGAGGGTTTTGGAGGCTAGTTGGAATTGCCTTAATGCGATTACCAAAAGTCTCGACGCTGCAGATATGTTGAATCACATCTCCAATGTACGCCAGGCTGTTCGGTTTGCCCTAAGTGATTATAGAGGAGAGCATCTGCCAGGGTTCTGTTTACCTAAAAAGGTAAGAAATCCGATGTAATGACGTCAGATTCTGGCTGCTTAACAACTGATGACTAAAAGTTTTTTCATCGACAGCACACTGACATCTATATTGGTATCGAATACATTTCGCAATATTGAAAATGGTTTGCCGGAAATGAAAGACTACGAAGAAGTATAGAATCAGAAATTCATGAATTTGTTGAATTTCTTCAAAAATTAATTCCATGTAAATGAGGTTCAGAAAGAATAGCTTGACAATGTATTACATTAAATACATGCATGGGTTTCATTAGCAGCAGACAACAGGCGATTTTCACCAGTTGGTTTCACAAAACCGCCTGTTGTTTTTAGGGACTTTCCAACTTTTCCATGTTAAGTTTATGATTTCCATTAATTTTACCTGTTGTTGTTTTCATTTATTTAGGCTGTTGTGAGAAATTCTAGTGAAACCCCTGACATGTTTGTAATACAGTATTAATAGCAACTTTTACTTTACAGGGTATCGCCCCAATCCTACCCATATTCCGTGAGGGAATCCTTAATGGACCTCCCGACTTGAAGGAGTCTGCAGCGGTTGGCTTGGGAGAAGTGATTAAGTTCACCAGCCCCATTGCACTCAAGCCCTCAGTGTTAAATATCACTGGGCCGTTGATTCGAATCCTCGGAGACAGGTTTAGCTGGAATGTAAAGGTGGCGCTGTTGGATACACTTACGTTATTGCTTTCTAAGGTATGCTATATTATAATATGTCTTATATTTTGGCCCATTGTCTAATCTAGGAAGTATGGACTCAAATGGAAAGCCCATGTTATTCATTTAGAAAGAACTTGTTCTCATGGAGAACTTCTATTTTCTCACCTAGAAAGGCTATGGTCTCAATAAAAAGCTAGCTATTCCTTGTTTTTAAGCTTTGGTTTTTTCAAGGTTCCTTTTGTTTTATAAAACATAGAACTGAGTTTTTATGCATGTTGAGTAAATCTTTTAAAGGTTTTCCTTACCTTAGGGAAATCTTGTCTTGTAACGTCTTGTCTATGCCTTTCCAGCCAAACTAATCGAGGATTTATTTGAAACCTTCAGAGATGCTTCTTTGTTTTGCCTGTGATGTCATAGATAAGTCTTGTTACTATGGTAACAAAATTCAATTCAATGCAAATTTCTATCATTTATTCCAGTGCGGTGTAATGTTGAAATCTTTCCTACCTCAACTGCAGACAACATTCATTAAGGCCCTGAATGACCCAAATCGGGCAGTGCGCCTGAAGGCCGCAGATGCAATCTCTCAATTAATCTTGATTCACTCTCGGGTCGACACCCTATTCACAGAGCTCCACAATGGAGTGAAGGCAGCAGAGGATTCTGGGATCAGGTTGGTGTCTGTGTTTTTATTTCACCACCACAAGTGGTGACATATTGTCTCCAACTTTTTTTTGTGTTTGGCGGTTGGTGTTCAGGATCTGTAATGGCAGAGGACTCTGGGACCAGGAGATGTGACATATTGTTAAAGTCTCTTTTTGTGTTTGGCGTTTGGTGGTCAGTTTTCGGCATCTGTAACAAATGACAGATGGTGACATTTTGCATGTTAATGCCTTGTTCTTGCATATGACTGCCACAATAATTGCCATCCCTGCTGAAAAATTTTTTGTCACAACTGCATTGCCAACAAGAACATCTTGCCAGTGGCTTGCCAGTTTAACTGTCTAATTTATCCACCCTGACCAAGTACTGTCATCTATTTATCCATCTACATATAGCTGATTGAACAGATGACATGGGTGTATTCACTTAAAATGAATATTAAACATGACAGATAATAACATTTGATATATAGTATTTGATTACATTTGAATAAATACATGGAAAATCTAGGGAAATTCTAGACTAACTGAAAAATAAATAGTTAAACTTGAAAAATGAAATTAAAATGGACACCATGCTCCAAGCACTGCGTGGCTGTATTGAGGGGGCCAAGACTAAGATGGGAGATGCCATACATATGTGGCTATACTCAGAATAAAAATGTAAATATGAAAAATGAACTTATAGGGACACTATGCTCCAAGCACTGCGTGGCTGTATTGAGGGGGCCAAGACTAAGATGGGAGATGCCATACATATGTGGCTATACTCAGAATAAAAATGTAAATATGAAAAATGAACTTATAGGGACACTATGCTCCAAGCACTGCGTGGCTGTATTGAGGGGACCAAGACTAATATGGGAGATGCCATACATATGTGGCTATACTCAGAATAAAAATGTAAATATGAAAAATGAACTTATAGGGACACTATGCTCCAAGCACTGCGTGGCTGTATTGAGGGGGCCAAGACTAAGATGGGAGATGCCATACATATGTGGCTATACTCAGAATAAAAATGTAAATATGAAAAATGAACTTATAGGGACACTATGCTCCAAGCACTGCGTGGCTGTATTGAGGGGGCCATGACTAATATGGGAGATGCCATACATATGTGGCTATACTCAGAATAAAAATGTAAATATGAAAAATGAACTTATAGGGACACTATGCTCCAAGCACTGCGTGGCTGTATTGAGGGGGCCAAGACTAAGATGGGAGATGCCATACATATGTGGCTATACTCAGAATAAAAATGTAAATATGAAAAATGAACTTATAGGGACACTATGCTCCAAGCACTGCGTGGCTGTATTGAGGGGGCCAAGACTAAGATGGGAGATGCCATACGTATGTGGCTATACTCAGAATAAAAATGTAAATATGAAAAATGAACTTATAGGGACACTATGCTCCAAGCACTGCGTGGCTGTATTGAGGGGGCCAAGACTAAGATGGGAGATGCCATACATATGTGGCTATACTCAGAATAAAAATGTAAATATGAAAAATGAACTTATAGGGACACTATGCTCCAAGCACTGCGTGGCTGTATTGAGAGGGCCAAGACTAAGATGGGAGATGCCATACATATGTGGCTATACTCGGAATAAAAATGTAAATATGAAAAATGAACTTAAAGGGACACTATGCTCCAAGCACTGCGTGGCTGTATTGAGGGGGCCAAGACTAAGATGGGAGATGCCATACATATGTGGCTATACTCAGAATAAAAATGTAAATATGAAAAATGAACTTATAGGGACACTATGCTCCAAGCACTGCATGGCTGTATTGAGGGGGCCAAGTCTAAGATGGGAGATGCCATACATATGTGGCTATACTCAGAATAAAAATGTAAATATGAAAAATGAACTTATAGGGACACTATGCTCCAAGCACTGCGTGGCTGTATTGAGGGGGCCAAGACTAAGATGGGAGATGCCATACATATGTGGCTATACTCAGAATAAAAATGTAAATATGAAAAATGAACTTATAGGGACACTATGCTCCAAGCACTGCGTGGCTGTATTGAGGGGGCCAAGACTAAGATGGGAGATGCCATACGTAAGCAGCTATTCTCAGAATAAAAATGTAAATTTGAAAAATGAACTTATAGGGACACCATGCTCCAAGCACTGCGTGGCTGCATTGAGGGGGCCAAGACTAAGATGGGAGATGCCATACATATGTGGCTATACTCAGAATAAAAATGTAAATATGAAAAATGAACTTATAGGGACACCATGCTCCAAGCACTGCGTGGCTGTATTGAGGGGGCCAAGACTAAGATGGGAGATGCCATACGTAAGCAGCTATTCTCAGAATAAAAATGTAAATTTGAAAAATGAACTTATAGGGACACCATGCTCCAAGCACTGCGTGGCTGCATTGAGGGGGTCAAGACTAAGATGGGAGATGCCATACGTAAGCAGCTATTCTCAGAATAAAAATGTAAATTTGAAAAATGAACTTATAGGGACACCATGCTCCAAGCACTGCGTGGCTGCATTTAGGGGGCCAAGACTAAGATGGGAGATGCCATACATATGTGGCTATACTCAGAATAAAAATGTAAATATGAAAAATGAACTTATAGGGACACTATGCTCCAAGCACTGCGTGGCTGTATTGAGGGAGCCAAGACTAAGATGGGAGATGCCATACGTAAGCAGCTATTCTCAGAATAAAAATGTAAATTTGAAAAATGAGCTTATAGGGACACCATGCTCCAAGCACTGCGTGGCTGCATTGAGGGGGCCAAGACTAAGATGGGAGATGCCATACTTAAGCAGCTATTCTCAGAATAAAAATGTAAATTTGAAAAATGAACTTATAGGGACACCATGCTCCAAGCACTGCGTGGCTGCATTGAGGGGGCCAAGACTAAGATGGGAGATGCCATACGTAAGCAGCTATACTCAACACTTGAAGGACTGCTAAATTGCAAAGATGACCAATCTCGACTTGTGGCTGCAGGATGCCTTGGAGCATTGACTGTGTGTATGACAGATGATGAGGTCATGCTACTGATCAATCAACATTTCTTAGGTAGGTCTATTTATTTTAGATATACCGGTAGACATTTTTATGATTACTTTTTTATAGCCTGTAACATACAATTTATTTTACACAATAGTAGCAATTTAACATACACTTCTAATTACATGTACTTGATGTTTAAATATTTAAACTTGTATATTTATTGAAATTATTTTTCTGAAAAGTAGGCATGCCATTACAATGGTTATGTGAAACAGTACAAACTAGTAACCCTATCATGAAAGAAGAGCTGAAAAACACTTTCTAAATCAATAATATGTTTTTCACACAATACTAAGACAAAATAAATACTGTAGCAAGCATTTCACACAAGAAGATCCTGAATCTGTTATGTTTTGAAATATAATGTACAAGAATTCACCCTTACATGTCACCTGTTTCATGCAGTTTACTAACTTAGAATAAAGAATATGAAGAACTAATGAGATTCCATGCCTCTTAAGTTTCTTGGAAAAATTTTAAAAATGCATTTTAAAGTTAATTTTAAAAGTTTGAAATTTTTGCAGTCCTTTGAAAGATACACATATTTTTCTTGGTATAAACCCTGTATCCAAAACCTCCCAGTGCATAACCTTTATGTATATTGCAGACATGGAGGATGACTGGGTGCTTAGACATGGGAGAGCAGTGGCCCTTGGTGTTGGACTGAAAGTGTCTGCAGAAAAACTGTTGGTTCCCCAACATAAGACAGCTATACAGAAAGCCATACTGGATAATATTGCACATGACAGGGTAAGACTTGTAATTGTCTCGTACTTGTAATTGCCTCACACTTGTAATTGCCTCATACATGTACTTGTAATTGCATCATACTTGTTATTACCTCATACTTATCATTAACACCATTGGTGTTAGTGGTTTACATGCGATAAGATACCTCTAACATAATCTGTTCTTCTGAGATGTCATAGACAACAATCTAGTTACTATGGTAACCATGTTTGTCTCTCTGCCAGTTGTGTTCAATGGTGTATGTGGGTTCGGATACATTTTGCATCATCTGTTCTCCTGTCGTGCCATAGATAACAGTCTGGTCACTATGGTAACTATGTATGTTTCTTTTGCAGATGCCAGTTGTTCTAAGTGGTCTACGTGCATTAGGATACCTTTTACGTCATCAGTTCTCGTGTGATGTCATAGACAACAGCTTGGTTACCACGCTAACAAAGTGCATGAAGAATGAGTCAAATGACGTTAAACAACTGACCAGTCAAGTGATGACATACATAGCTCTGTCTAAAGATGAAGGTCTACCTGTGTCTGCGCTTAAGGTAACTTCAAACTAAACTCTGTATATTACTTATTGTTCAATAATTGTGGGAGATACAGAAACTATTCTTTCAAAAAAATGGTGGATGCAAGAGTGAGCAATGCATTGTGGGATCCATCAACCAAAACTAAATATATCTCATGTCATCTATAAATGTAAATCAAAATTGAATAAGTTTTATGCCTTGGTCACATTTGCTCCAACTCATCGGCTGGTGCCCACCTGATTGAGTGTTTTGTTCAAAATTGCATTCAATTTTGAACAAAATACTCAATCGGCCAGGTGCCGTTGTGAAAATCGGTGCAAATGTGACCAGGGCATTACATGTTAATGCAAAAATGTCAAGTTAAATTGGACGTGAGATTTTCTGTACTACACCCATTGGGTATTTATTTCCCATGAGCATTTCTCATTTGAAGTCACTTTTGGGAGGCACTTTTTATATTGATTTTTTTTCATTGACAATTCACTTTTCCATGACCATCCCAAATGATTTTTGGTAAAATAGATATATTTTGGATGAAATAAATATTAAATTGTTTAGATCATGGTGCTTTCCCTGATGATGGTGACATTGTTTCACATCATAAGACTGCTAAAATAGACAAAAGTCCTTGTAAAAATACATTTATTTAATTGTTTAGATTATGGTGCCTTGCCTAGTCAACGGGACAAAGGAGAAGAATACTGTTGTCAAGTCCACTGCTGAAACTGCCTCAGTGGCCATTCTTAGAATTAACAAACAACAAGCTGGAGATACAACTCTAAAGGTGAGTTCCCAAAACTCTCAGGTTGAAAATAACAAAACACAATTACAACGTTTATTGCTCAACGTATCTAAAATTTGTAATGCATTCACCAGATTTATGGAGTGTTCAATTCAAACGAGATGCAGTTGCGGATAAGTTTTAGCTTAACTTCTTTAATATTTAATAACAGTGCTTTTATGTTATTTTCTCATTAAAGAAAAGATTTGAAAGTTTGGCATTTTCTTCGTGATCACAAAATTACCTGTAATCTCAGTAGAGAGTTTTAATAATGGTATATTATATTTATCTGTGCTCATATTTGCATGTAGTAAAACCTGTGTAAGTGGAGCACCTTTGGTACCCCAGATGTTTACCACTATGAAGGTGTTCCACTTATAGAGGTATATTGAGCAAATGAGTAACAGAACTTTAAAATGTTCCACTTATGGAGGTGTTCCACTTTCAGAGGTGTTCCACTTATAGAGTTATATTAAGCAAATGAGTAACAGAACTTTAAAGTGTTCCACTTATGGAGGTGTTCCACTTTCAGAGGTGTTCCACTTATAGAGTTATATTAAGCAAATGAGTAACAGAACTTTAAAGTGTTCCACTTATGGAGGTGTTCCACTTTCAGAGGTGTTCCACTTATAGAGTTATATTAAGCAAATGAGTAACAGAACTTTAAAGTGTTCCACTTATGGAGGTGTTTCACTTTCAGAGGTGTTCCACTTATAGAGTTATATTAAGCAAATGAGTAACAGAACTTTAAAGTGTTCCACTTATGGAGGTGTTTCACTTTCAGAGGTGTTACACTTAACAGGTTATTTTGTACACGTGTTTGGGAAACGTTTGTGCTATGTAAAATATTTCAGCGTTAGTTTGAATTGTGTGTGAATTTTTCAGACATGCCTATCATCACTCGATCCAGGAATGCGAGAGGCTTTGAATGAAGTGGTCGGCAAGGTACATCATAAACAAACAGCACAGCCCACAGGACGTGATGAGGACATTGATGACACATTGTTGTCCTAGCAACACTCAGTCGTCATATCAATGCCTTTTTGTTGTATCAGCGATGCTTTGTTGTAGTCTAAGTCATATCAATGCTGAATCTACATACCATGAAACTAGTATGATGAACTAATGTATGGACTATGTAATTAAAAAGAATGAAATTATTCTGAGGAATTCAGGTCAGAAATGTGGCCAGAATCCAATAGTTGGTGAGGCAAAAATATCTAGGTGAGGCAAAACAAGCCAAATTGATATTCTGTGGGAAATAATTTTAATTTTTATTTTAAAAAGAGTGAAAATATTTTTCTCTAAATTAGTGAAACTATTAGAAGGAACTAGAAAGTTCTGGAAAGTATTTTGGAACTTTGCAATTGTGGACTGTGTCAGAAATTTTCAGCCGACATTGTGCCAATATTCACTCCCATGACATGACTGCTATTTAAGCAACATAGATTCTGACATGTGCACTTTTATTATACATTTTGAAATATTGTGCATCTGTGCATGGGAAATGTTTCCTCAAATTATCTTATAATAAGTAATTTCCATATTAACCTAAGTTGGATTGAATATGACAAAAAACACTCCGAGAAGCTTTATTATTTATTTTGATAATGAATTTCAACTTTTACTTTAACAAGTATACTCTATTTATATCATGGTTTCCATAGTAACAATAATTGATGTATAGAAATAGATGGCAGTAATTCTGAAGAATTATCATGATTTAATCCATTGTAAAGATTTCCTAACTGAAGATAAGATTATACAGATGCTAAAATGAATATACAGTTGTTGGGATGATGCAGATGTTGAAGTATTGCAGATGTTTTGGTGATGGATGTAAGTGGATATTTTGTTGCATGATTTAAGTGTATTTATTTGTATTTCAGTATATTGAAAAAGACTATTCCATTGGCCATGTGTATGCATTAAGACCCCTTCTAAGCACTGACATTTATAGACTTGCATAATGACTCTGACAAAGTTTTAGTTGATCTCTGTGATTTGTCCACCCCCCCACACCCCATTTGCTATCTTAAGCCTAGAGTGGGCTACCAAGTCTTAAGGATATTTGTCTGGAACCCATAGTTAAGTTTGCAAACAGGTCAAGACAGCAATTTACATTGTACACAGAATATGTTTGAAGATGGTTAGGCAAAAAATAGATATAAAGGAATATACACGAAGAAGATTAGATGAAATGACTGGTTTGCGATTCAAATGAATGCTATTAATATATTGTGATGTCATAGACTCATAATTAAAATTTTGTAACCATAGCAACCATTGGAATGAGTTACTGGGCAACAACCAACGTTCACCTGTGTATCAGTGTCCTTATGTATTGGTGTAACAGAAAAAAATTGATGAATAAAAACTGTAAGAAACATGTTTTATTTTGTTTTTTCTTTGTTCTATCTATCCAAGATTAGAGAAGAAACTTCTCAAAGTACAATTATGCTTTAGGGTTTCAATGTTGTCTTAGGAAAATAGTTTTACATTGGGGACAAATTAGGCCAGGTTTGCTTTTTGTTTTCTAGGGTTTATAGGTTTTAAATTCTTGCAACATCCTTTCTTTTTAAACAAAAATTCCAAGAGCCTTTTTTTAACCAAACATCTTTAGGATTAAAAATCAATATAATATGTGCTTTAATCAGGAAACTATATGTCGTTACATGTACATACCATCATGATAAACCAGGACATCTCAAATCCTCTCAGCCCTGAGATGTTTCAGGTGAAACAGAAAGATGCTATGAGTATCAGAATGTGTACATACAGACTTGAGGTCAATTTGAATTTTTAAAAAGTTTGATCATTAAGATGGCAGCACAATAGCACTGCTGATATTAAAAGTTTGACATGGTAATATTTATTTGTCAAAATATTCCTGTATTAATTAAATTCCTTTAAAGACTTTCAACAATTATGTTTCAGAATGTTATATTATATCAGAACTTGACATTAAGATTTCACAATGACATATTTGTTAACTAATTTGAAAAGTAGTGCTACCAATACAAATTAGTATGTAACTATCAATCGCTGATGGAAAATAATATATTTGATTTAGAAACAAACTACGATCTCATTTTGTGACTGCCATTTAAAAACACCAACCGTCTATACAGACGCCGAACTCTATGTTTTGAACAGCTCACTTCTGTGAGTTGGAGAAGCTCCAAATCTGATGTCCCCTACCATTCCCTTGCGTTGAATCTGTCGATAATTGGATAATCACCCTATGCAGACAGAGCCTGTGGGAAATATTGGGTGCGGCGCAAATGAGCGGAGGGTGCGGAGCTAACGGTCATTTTTGAATTTAAAATTGGGATATTTCTGAAACTAAGCCGTTTTGGGACTTCAAATATACCAAGATATGTGTATTTGACACCAAATACCAATAAAATTGTGAAAATAGTAGTGCAATTCATTTAATAGCGACGCAGTATGCCTTAAACATTTCCCAGACCTATATATTTTGAGACTATCCTTTTAATACTGCGTCCCCAGCATTCATAAAAAATGGTGTTCAAAATACACTACCCATGCAAATTATTTTTGCATCTTGGAAGCCAGGCAGTATCTGTGTGATTTTATAAAAATTCGGAAATGTTCTTCAGATATGAGCCCCCTCTAAATATTGGGTGCGGAGCTACGTTTATGGAGCTGCTCCGCACCCAATATTTAGAGGGGGCTCATATCTGAAAAACATTCCGAATTTTTATAAAATCACACAGATACTGCCTGGCTTCCAAGATGCAAAAATAATTTGTATAGATAGTGTACCTTAAACACCATTTTTTATGAATGCTGGGGACTAAAAGGATAATTTCAAAATATATAGGTCTGGGAAAGGTTTAAGGCACACTGCGTCGCTATAGAATGAATTGCGCTACTATTTTCACAATTGTATTGATATGTGGTGTCAAATACACATATCTTGGTATATTTGAAGTCCCAAAACGGCTTAGTTTCAGAAATATCCCAAATTTAAATTCAAAAATGACCCGGTTAGCTCCGCACCCTCTGCTCATTTGCTCCGCACCCAATATTTCCCACAGGCTCTGTCTGCATAGGGTGATAATGCTACATTACAATGAAACCATTTGAGTAACTAATCTTCCAAACTAGTGTCAAACAAACTTCTCAACGTTTATGTATCTTATTGTATTATATACCCCCTTATTTAAACAGTGTAGTATTGTAGTAGTTTGTTTTATCATCTTATATTATAGATTTTAGCTATACCCATGTACATTGTATTTGTGGTAATGCAATAAATAAATTACTGATGAGTATGCTGCTAAAATTCAACGATCAAAAATAGTATTTTAGAATGATAAAGATTAGATTTTAACTCCCATTTAGATTGCTGAAACGATTATTTCGGTCCTGTGCAATTTAAACTTTGGAAAGTTCGATGAAGTTATTAAGATGGCAGCACCATGTAACGCTGATTGTCAGAATTGGGTAACATTTATATAGCAAAATATTGTAATCAGTGTATTAATTAAACACCGTAAGGAATTTCAGATAATTATGTTTCAAAATGTTCCAAATCTGATGTCCCCTACCATTCCCTTGCGTTGAATCTGTCGATAATTGGATAATCACCCTATGCAGACAGAGCCTGTGGGAAATATTGGGTGCGGCGCAAATGAGCGGAGGGTGCGGAGCTAACGGTCATTTTTGAATTTAAAATTGGGATATTTCTGAAACTAAGCCGTTTTGGGACTTCAAATATACCAAGATATGTGTATTTGACACCAAATACCAATAAAATTGTGAAAATAGTAGTGCAATTCATTTAATAGCGACGCAGTATGCCTTAAACATTTCCCAGACCTATATATTTTGAGACTATCCTTTTAATACTGCGTCCCCAGCATTCATAAAAAATGGTGTTCAAAATACACTACCCATGCAAATTATTTTTGCATCTTGGAAGCCAGGCAGTATCTGTGTGATTTTATAAAAATTCGGAAATGTTCTTCAGATATGAGCCCCCTCTAAATATTGGGTGCGGAGCTACGTTTATGGAGCTGCTCCGCACCCAATATTTAGAGGGGGCTCATATCTGAAAAACATTCCGAATTTTTATAAAATCACACAGATACTGCCTGGCTTCCAAGATGCAAAAATAATTTGTATAGATAGTGTACCTTAAACACCATTTTTTATGAATGCTGGGGACTAAAAGGATAATTTCAAAATATATAGGTCTGGGAAAGGTTTAAGGCACACTGCGTCGCTATAGAATGAATTGCGCTACTATTTTCACAATTGTATTGATATGTGGTGTCAAATACACATATCTTGGTATATTTGAAGTCCCAAAACGGCTTAGTTTCAGAAATATCCCAAATTTAAATTCAAAAATGACCCGGTTAGCTCCGCACCCTCTGCTCATTTGCTCCGCACCCAATATTTCCCACAGGCTCTGTCTGCATAGGGTGATAATGCTACATTACAATGAAACCATTTGAGTAACTAATCTTCCAAACTAGTGTCAAACAAACTTCTCAACGTTTATGTATCTTATTGTATTATATACCCCCTTATTTAAACAGTGTAGTATTGTAGTAGTTTGTTTTATCATCTTATATTATAGATTTTAGCTATACCCATGTACATTGTATTTGTGGTAATGCAATAAATAAATTACTGATGAGTATGCTGCTAAAATTCAACGATCAAAAATAGTATTTTAGAATGATAAAGATTAGATTTTAACTCCCATTTAGATTGCTGAAACGATTATTTCGGTCCTGTGCAATTTAAACTTTGGAAAGTTCGATGAAGTTATTAAGATGGCAGCACCATGTAACGCTGATTGTCAGAATTGGGTAACATTTATATAGCAAAATATTGTAATCAGTGTATTAATTAAACACCGTAAGGAATTTCAGATAATTATGTTTCAAAATGTTCTGTTATATAAATACTTGATATTTAGATTAAAAAATGACAAATTTGCATCCAAATTTGAGATAAAATGCTATTAATATAAATGAGTACGTAACTTAAATTCACTGGTCAAAAATGATATCCTAGAATAATAAGTTGATAACATTTCCTTGTAACTACGACGGAAAAAAAAGACGGACGTCAATTTATTTGACGGATTACGGACTACTATTTGGACGACTTATTTTATGTAAGTCGGATTAATAAAAATGATAACGAGCATATGATTTAGTTCAGAACCACATACCCAACAAGTACAGAAATCGTGGTGTGGTGGCATTGGGAAAAATTTGATACTTGGTCTTCATCGAAGTAAGCTACTTTGCCATCTACACTCGACTTTAGCTTTTCATACGACGAGGAATTTTCACTCAATTAAAAAATTTCCTGTTATTAATTAAAACGATGGTAGACATAAGGGGTCGTAATTTTACTTAAAAACATATCTTTAAAATAATGAAGCGTTCATGTACAATATCAATATTCATTCGTGTCGTGCTCGTAAAACGATAATGGCGAGAGCGACACTGAAAGCCAAATTGCTGATTATGTCCTTTAACTGTTTAACTGGAGAATGATCTATTCATTTTGTTTCTTATATTTTACTTATTCATAATTTGGAATGTTAATGTTACGTATACGTTGAAAATATTCATTGGAATTCGATTTTCGTTAATAAAGAAATAATAAGGAAATAAACGAAAAGAAAAGTTTATGTGCTATAAAGCAGAGTATACTATATATGTTATCACTATTTACAGCTTGGTGTGTTACTATAAGGAAGCACTATAGACACCTGCCGATATAAAAGTTTGAACAGATAACAGTTGTAGGTCAAAATCTCAATGTATTTATAAAATAGTAATACCACAAAGGACAAGTACAGGGTGACCCCAAAAAATGCAACCCTCCATTTCTTCAATATTTTTCTTAAATGGAGGTTAATTGCTCTGAAATTTGGCACACAAGGACTTAATTCAACGTGGGATCCTCTGGCAAAGTTTCAATAATCATAGTTTTATATTGATAGAGTTTTGATCGTTCCAAAATATGCTCCAAATGTTGTCAATTTCCAATGTTAGGTTTTCGGATGAATCACATTCCCTTCTTTTCCCGGTATTGTCCACACGATTTATAATCTTTCTCTACTGTGCTTTCGTTAATAATTCCTTGTTCTGTTTCACCTGTTTGACTTGGTCTTCTTGTACGTTATTGCGCTCTTCAGATGTCTTGAATATACAGCATAATGGCATTATTTAGTACCTATTTGGCACTAATTTAGCAAAAAACACCAACCGTCTATCCAGACGCCGAACTCTATGTTTTGAACAGCTCACTTCTGTGAGTTGGAGAAGCTCCAAATTGGATATCCCATACCACTACCCCTGCGTTAAAATTGGATACTAAATCCCTGAGCTT